ACTAAGCTTGGTACAGTCTTTAACGGGTCCTAGTAGATCACCCATTTGGAAAGAAACCCCATCATTCTTTCTGGTAATGATATACCATTCCCCAACAGCAGGGGACAGAGTCTATCATCCCACAGAGCATTAACTTTCCTCCCTAAATCACCCCACAGATAACAGTACACTTATCAATTTCTGAATACCGTGCCTGCCATGCACTAAGCTGAACGAACTACTGTACAGAACTATCTCGTCAACCGATCGTTCCTGCTCAGTTATTAATGGAAGGTAGCCACACATCGTCCAGGAATCACCCTTTTTTTATCGCGCAGCGAAAGCTAGTTGGACAAAGTATGCAACAGCGAAGATAATGCCAGGTCAATTATCGAGAGAAGAATTCGATCAGTTAACGAGGCGCTATTGTATATACTGCACTCATTATCAACTGTCAGGGCAGTGTCCAATTAGCTCCAACTGTTCCTCGCGCGTTCACGTTTTCCTTATTCATCCGAGGCTAAACTGGCCAGGAAAACGCAATTAGAATTCAGAAAAGGTGAACTATTCCGAAGGCAGCGCTTTGCATACAATTTTCCTGGACCGTGTAACGTGTAGAATCGCGCGATACGCGGTGATACATTACGCTATTACGTTTCATTGCCCGACATTAGACGGGATTACGTTGCTCCTCGTGATATTACACCGGGGGCCGTGACTTAATGGCTTATTTCATCATCGCTCCCGCCCGAATATTTTTCTGTCTCTTTTAAGACTTTTTAAGGATTCGCGGCGCCCACGATTTATGATATCTTTAGCGCGCCGTGTAATTTGTACCGTCGTGAAAACGCTGGCAAAAATGGGGGGGACCGAATTTTATCAACGGCACCGCATTATTATTTTTATCTCCGCGAGGATTCGTTTAATCGAGGTAATTGAAGAAATCATCTAGCGAGCTTCTATCGCCCTCTTAAAGTAACGTACATCTGTCGGTGTTATTTATGGGCGAATCAGGGTGACAATTTGTTAGGAGAAGTCCCGTTGATATTAATTTCGATGTTCAGTCTGTATTTATCATTGTAATTTTATTGGAAGTTGAGGGAGGAAGACTTTCAAGATTTTCAAATATTTCGAAACTACGCTATTTTATGGGCCACAAGGTTCTCCAAGATCCTTTTGATAATTATCAGCACGATTAGACTTCTACGCTACGAGACAAAGAATTCCTGTCGCTGGAAACGTATAGCAGCACGCGAACTTCTACACCAAAGTCGATCGTACCCGTGTTACAGAGATGCAGCAGCGGTTACGTGTCCGACCCACGTATTATGTATCTCGAACAGGAAGTGGAAAAGATAAGAGAACTTGTGGTCATTAATAAACCCTCCCCCGCACTGGGCTCGCATCTCGAGTTCGCCCTTCGTAACCCAACTTCGTACACATCCACTTACGTTGCCGTTTATTCAGAAACCATTTTACGTCTCGACGAGCTCATTGTTCCAACAATACACGTTCTGCTGTGCAACAATCTTTTTTACATTCCCGACTCTTTGCAAACGACAAGCGGACAATTACTTTCGTGAAATTGTTGTATTTATCGTATGCTCGCGTAACTTGCTACAGTTTCGTCGTACGATGCACGGTTTCACGTTGGCCCCTCTGTCGTTCGACTTCCCGGCGAGGCAACCCTTTCAGTTTCGATAAAAAACGAGAGAATCGAGACGCTGGTCTATTATAGACGCCGCGATAAATCGATGCAGCGAGCAGTCGAACGAGTCGCGGGCGGAAGCTCGAGTCGCGTCGCGTATCAAATTCATTGCCCGGAAATCACACAATACGGTCCCCGATGTAATGGAAGATAATTGAAATCAAAATGGAATCGATACGGAGTTATATTCCGTCCGCGTCGAAACGGCACAAAAAACCCCCTCGCGCGGGTTTATAAAGCACGTTTCGCCGACGATATTTTTTACGCGCATCCTGTAGAGAGTTCGCTTTATTATGTTGCCCGGGTTCTGCGCGAGGAGCAAATATTTCCGCGATGAAAAGATCGGGCGCAATTACTGGACGGTATTACGCGAAACAGCGTGCACAATGAGCAGAATTTTCAGCGAATTCAAGCCGTAAAACATTTTAATAAATCGACGATTGTCACGGCGGAACGACGGGATCGAACAATTTTAACAAATATTCCGTACGAAACTTACACGATCGAAATTAAAATGGACCATTGTTACAAAAAATTTATATCAATCGACGCATATTGCGCTTTAATAAATGTTCGATAATCGTTCATGGAGTTTGGAACCACATTTTCTCGTGCAATAAGCTCGAAAAGCCGATCTTTCGATCGAAAGAATCGAATCGTAATCGATCACCTCTAAAGTAAACCACGGTTGCCTTGGAAACGCGTTCGAGGGTAGATTCAGATTTCCGATATTATTTACTTTGTACCATCCCCGAGATGCGTCTTGCGAGCAGGACAAACATAGAGGGTGTCTCCCTAAAGACCAATTCGCCTATAATAAACCCAGCGATTACCGGGCGAAATTACTTTTTCTTCAAAGATCTCCCGGTATCGTTTGATGTCGCGTCGGTTATCGCGAAATTTCCCGTGGATCATGATGCAATCAGGACGCAGCCATCGCGTCGAGCCTCGCCGAAAAGCTCGTGGGGAACTGTTAAAACAGAGGACGTTGCGTTCGCGTCTAGTTTTTTGAGTCTTCGTATTACTTTCACAGGAATATACAAACGGTAATTGCATAAATCAGTGATTCAGAAAACGAGAAATTATAACGCGGAAGGAGGATGGCGATCGTATCTCCGACAATAGTGAATGCACCTCATTGAAATTTAGTCAGGAAGTAGAGCTCATCCATGCCTACAAAAACGTATTAGACAACATTTCCGTAGCGCGCCAGACAAATGTTTTAAAAATCAAAAAGAAACTTCTAAGAAAAATCGACGGATGCTGAAAATTTCGGCGGAAAAAAAAAATTTCAAATCGTTCTAAAAAAAATATTCTTGGATTCAGGGGCCAATTACAATCATTTTTGGTGAACACACATACCCTCGAAATCCTAACCAGTTTCGAGAAAAAAATTCAATAATTGGATAAATTTTTCTACAAAATTAAAACATTTCAAATCTTTCTAAAAAAATATTCTTGGATTCAGGGGTCAATTACAATCATTTTTGGTGAACACACATACCCTCGAAATCCTAACCAGTTTCGAGAAAAAAATTCAGTAAGTGGATAAATTTTTCTCAAAAAATAAAACATTTCAAATCTTTCTAAAAAAATTATTTTTAGTTACAGGGATCGATTGCAATCATTTTCGGTCGATACACATACCCCCGAAATCCTACGCACTTTTGAGAAAAAAATTCTTTGCCGAAGATATGTGTTACCAAACGCGTTCAAATTATTAAAATTTATGAAACCAAATTTCTTTTTTGAGTCGAACGACGTTTAACATAATTTATGAAAATGCTAGAAACTATATAGCTACTGAAATTTATCGGGATCACGATCGTGCCTAGATTCCCGCGATAAGAAAATTTCTGTTTTCGCATGCGAAATAATTGTCGCTGGGAATAGAAACAAAATTGACGCTGCGCTCTTTCAAACGAAATGAAACTGATATTATCCGCGGGTGCAGAGAGCGCGAGAAGCAAGTACAAAGAGGAACGAAACGCGATAGAGAGAGGCGGAGAAATTCGACGGGGATTTTTAGCGAATGCAGCACGCTCCCTTTCATCGTGTCCCAACTTCTTTTTTTTTTTTTTAGAATTATAGCGGCACAAAAGCGAACACGACGAGAGAGGGGAAAATAAACCGGGAGATTTTCAAAAGGACTATGGGACGTGCGGGGCGTACAAAGTGGGAGCCTCCGACGACGGAAACGCGTCTTGGACGGCGGCTCGGGAAGATTTCAGGTGGTCGCGTATCAAATTTTATCGGTTCGCCTTTCTTCGCGTCACCGGGGATAAAAGCGAGCCGGGGGATCGCCTTCGACGAGAAAAGTGGAGTGTAAACGATATGTAAACTCGCGAGGTGGAAGGGTTGTCGGGTGTTCGAAGGAAGACAACGAGCACGAGACGCGATAAAAGAACGATTACTTGGAGCGGAATGGCCTTCTGGAACAGTAGCTGCGATTCTGAAGAGGGAGGCTCGCGTTGCGAATAGTCGTGCAAACTAGAGGGGGATGTAAAGGCCTTGGGCAGGGTTGGGAGAAGAGTTTGCGGACCTGCGTAGGCTTCGAAGAGCTTTGTTACAACGATATCAGAAACGAAGAAAATTTTTTTTCAATCGCGTTAAAAATTAAATTATAATACATATATATAGAAATGGAGAAATGAAATAAACTAAATATATATCAACGTTACTCAACAGAGCAAAATAAGAGCAAAATAATGTTGACAATTTCAATGTATCCATTGATGCCAGGAATGAGGAAATTTCTATCCGAATAAAAGTTTCTATTAAATAGAAAATAAACAAGTTTATGCCTTGTTAGTGCTCGGCGGTTCAGATAAAAACAGACTCGTGTTGCAAATACGATGAGATGTGGAGATCCACGAAAACAGAGACGGGGGAAACTTTTTTTTTTTTGGATAAAACTATGGAATAACGGAAACGCGAATACGAAAAATTCGTATTTGTTATTATTTCGAACCAGCATGCATCCATCTATGTCGGATAAACTTTTATTCGAATAGATGTTTCTCGTTAATGACGAAACAAAATTACTCCATTACCGGGGGGGGGAAAAAAGACGATGCTGCTCCCATCTCTTGGAATGACCAAGCAACGAATACTATACACAAAATGATCTATTTTAATCTATAAACGAATTTCTAAATCAGAGAAGATCCTACGATACACTGTATGGTCAAATTATTTAACTTTGAAACACTTTTTACTCTTTCATATTAAAATATTAAACTTTGTTGATTAAATATACTTCGAAACTGAATAGAAACCGTATTTCTAACACGAGCAATAATTTATTTTTCAGCTCCCGTTCAACCAGACCACCCTATTGATCAAACATCGGACGACGATAAATTTTCTCCCGACATGAGTGGCGGTAGCGATTTCATCGATGGGTAAATATTAAATTTTAACAATATTTGTTAATATTGTATAGTTTAATTAACTGGATCGGCGCCAAATATTTTAGTCGTTCGAAATCATATTTCCAAGTCTGTGTGACATCATAAACTACTTCCTTTCTTACGATATCGTTACGTGCCTCCTCTATTTGAATGCCAGAGGACGTGTGCCAACTGATTTGCATGAAGAGACAGGAGATAGGGCAGCAGGGTAGCCAAATGGCATATAGTGGAATTTATCCTTCGATGGCCTTGAATGACCAAAGTATTTGGCGCATACAAAGAGTAAACAAAATACTTTCGAATTTATAAAATGCATAGAAAAATTTAAATTTTATAAAATATCAAACGGTTCGACGCTGCATTCGATTTGTATTATTGTACTTTCGTTACGGACTTTTTTAAAATGGCAATTTTTAAAAGATAAAACTTTATTTTACCGCCAAAAACCGTGATTACTGTTCGATTTACAAATGGACGCCGGGCGTGGTGTCAAATGACACAAGATTTCTGTTAAAATTAAATGTTTTGATAAATAATTTATAATTATGAAGCTACTCTTGTACCTAGTATTGTTGCAAAATGCGTGTATTTTTGTACGTGCCACAAATAGTGTCAAAAATGTTACTAATGTTACAGAGACAAGGTGATCATTCTTTGTTGTAACGATAGTGAGGTTATAAAAAAAAATACCGCGTCTTTTTGCAATGATACGCATACAATAATGTAACTGATATGTAGTAAATAAAAATTTGACAACTAACAGCTCGTTTGTTTTGCCTTCAATTTTGAAACACTTCGTTTCGTTGCTTGGTCGGGATTGTATTTGGTTGAGGTTATGTTTTGAAAAAAAATGACCGTTATTTTGACGAAAATCATGACATAAAATGCTCGCAAAATGACGTAACGAATTGTTATTCCTGTTTCGCGAGAAATTTAACTTTGTATACGATTAAATAACGAATGAAATATACTGTTTCACTGAATATTAATACCAAAATTGTTGCACTCTTAACCTATTAAATGCATTACATAAACATGTATAAAACTATATCAGTATAATGAAGGAAAAATGATTTTGTGTTGTGCATAGCATTAGGCCTGGAGATGGATTAGACCTCTCAGGACCTGGAATGTCAACGCCACACATCTCTCATCTAGCATCAACAAATCCATTTAGTATATTATCGCCAAGTCCACAACCAACTAGTTCTCAATCTAGTACTACCGACATGCATACAATCGGTGGCCTTAGAAATGTCAATATGCAGTTATCTCCTGGGAGAAAAGACAATCATGAAGGAAAATGTGAGGTATACAAAAACTTTTATACGACTACTACTCTGTTCACCGGATCATAATATTAAAACAACATTACTGTTTCAGGTGTATGTAGGGAAAACATGTGCACAATTTTTAGAGGATCAGTCTGTCTATATACCATACCCAATGACACAAAAATTACTCGATGACAAACTGATGAAAGCCTTTGGTGTTATTCAATACTCAAAGTAAGTAAAGTCTACTAAATTGGATACAAGAGTAAATGATTATTTTGGTAACACATTTAAGTTTTAATTTTTCTGTTTCAGTGAAGTCTCATTAAATTGTGAAGGTTACGCAAAACCGTCTCTATGTTACTCCGCATTTCCGATATGCCGTGATCCTGCCAGTATTCTAAAATTAAAGAACTCAAAAAGTCTATTTCATCTTCTAAATAATAATCAAGGCGGTTTATCGAAAGATGGCGACGGAGACGATTCTGACGATATCGCGCAATCTCACGGTATTCCCAGAAAACGCAGTCCCACATTGGGCCCTGGTTCCGAATTCAATCCATACAAAGAGGGGAAATCTTCTAACAAGAAACTGCTTGGTCAAAGCTACGGGGATGTACAATCCTCCAGCAGAAACGAGATCAATCGTAAATTACGACGGATTTGTCGAGAGGAGTGTGAGATATTAGAGAATGATCTGTGTAGAAAGGAATATGCAATTGCTAAAAGACATCCAATGATTGGACAACAAGTGCCTTTAATTAATTGTTCTGATTTACCAATGGAAAACACCCCTGAGGCTCGTGATTGTTTAAGTCTTGGAATTTCCACCGAGAACAATGTGCAGGAAAGTGAGTAGCTCAAGGTTGTTTTAAGGTCACGCCTTCCTAAATAAAAATACTATTGCACCCTCGTTTTTTAGACGATTATTGTTATTGGGGAAGCGGGAAGTCTTATCGAGGTATCGTGAAGACAAGTATTAGTGGAAGGCCATGCCTGCAATGGCTGGCTGCCTTCAATCTTCCAATTTCTGATTACCCGGAACTGGCCGGGCAACATTCGTATTGCCGTAATCCGGGTGATACAGAACTACAACCGTGGTGTTACGTTGATGTCAACCATACAATGCAACAGGAGTTTTGTGATATACCTAAATGCGGTAAATACACACGATATAAAAAAAAAACTGGATCGGATACTTAGTCTGGTCTAAAATAAAAATTTGTCTCTTTGCAGTTGAAAACTTATGGATCTATGCAGTCGTTGGTTTTGTGCTAACAGGAGGATTTGTTGTCATATTGATTTGTTATTGCTGCTGCTATAGAAGCAGAAAGTCTACAAGGCAAATGAACCATTTGCCATCGAACAAAGTAAGAACTAGTGTGATTGAATCGACGATCGTAAATGAAATCTAACCCGTTTAATCGACAGATGTTGACGAGTATACAATGCGACAAGAACATATACGATGGAAGACGAAGTACGACACAACCTATGGAGATGAGTTCTCTTTTAGCCGGCCCTGGTAACACAACCCCTGGCACCGGAACGTTAAGCAGTGGTAGTAGTAGAACATCCAATAACAGAGTGCCACAATTTACTACCAATAATGTTGTTCTTCTACAAGAACTAGGCGAAGGAGCTTTCGGTAAACTTAAAAAATTTCTTACAAGATCAATGCTTCTAACTATTTGTAGCGTGAACAAAATGAGAATTTTAAACGTTCTATAGGAAAAGTGTACAAAGGAGAGTTGCAAACAGGCAACAAATGCGAACCACCGATTTACGTCGCGGTGAAGACGTTAAAAGAGAACGCGAGTCCAAAAACGCAAAGTGACTTCAAACGAGAAGTGGATCTGATGACGGACCTTAGGCATCCAAACATTATTTGCTTGCTCGGCGTAATATTGAAGGGGGAACCAATGTGTATGTTGTTCGAGTACATGACGCAAGGGGATTTGCACGAATTTCTCATCTGCCATTCGCCAAGGTCCGACGTTCCGTTGAACAATGGAAGCGGCAAGATCTTGGAGCAGCCCGAGTTTCTACACATCGCTTTACAAATCGCATCCGGTCGGTTCAACTATTGCACTATCTCGATTATTTTGTATTAAAGACTATGACTTTATTGCGTAATGTTGTTTTAGGCATGGAATATCTAGCAAGCCATCACTATGTTCACCGAGACTTAGCAGCAAGGAATTGCTTGGTTGGAGATAATTTAACAGTGAAGATCTCCGATTTCGGGTTATCGCGTGATATATACAGTAGCGATTACTACAGAGTCCAATCTAAGAGTCTGTTACCTGTTCGATGGATGCCTCCAGAGTCAATTGTTTATGGGAAATTTACGACGGAGTCGGATGTATGGAGTTTTGGTGTTGTATTATGGGAAATTTATAGTTACGGTTTACAGGTAATAATCTCCTCATGACTCTTGAACATATCGAGACACCTCGTCCAGAGGTAAAATAGTAACATCTAACGCGTGAATTTTTTTAATTTTCAGCCATATTACGGTTACAATAATCAAGAAGTGATAGACATGATTCGGTCGCGTCAATTATTACCTTGCCCCGAGGACTGCCCGACCATGATTTACAGTCTAATGATAGAATGCTGGCACGAGGTGGCGAACCGCCGACCACAGTTCCCAGAGATCCACCATCGTTTGCACAACTGGTACATAAACCAGACCTATCTGAGCGATTTCTGTAACGAGTCCATAACCAGCTACTCCGGGAGCAGCCACAAGAGCACAAACAAAACTAACTCCACGCAGCTGTCCGCCCCGATATACAAGTGCGATCAGAAGGAAATGGGGAACTTCAAGGGGAACACCGAGCAAGTGTTTTGCAACATCAACGACCATAGCAACGGATTGAAGATATTGCCCAGCTTCCAAAACTCGAACTCCATCGAGCAAAGGCCGAATTGCGGTTACAGCGAGCACAACACGCCTATGAAAACGCCGAATTATCCGAACCAGACAAATATTAACATGAACGAGTACGACGACAAACAGTGTTGCTCGCCGAAACTGAGCGGGGCGAAGAAAGTTCTGCCACCCACGGCGCAATCGGTGGGCAAAATGAACACGCTGAACGGTACTAGACCGATGCAAAACGGTGCACAACTAGTTGTCAGGTTACCGGACCCCAGCAAGGTCACGACCGAGACCAGGGTATCAAAGTGAGAACGACGAACCGACGCCGGGCTCACGACGAATTTCTATGTTTCTGTATGTTTACCGTAATTGCTGTACAAGGTATGTATATGGCCTGTTTTTTTAGGTACAATCGAATCTACAAAGCTTCGGGCAATGTTCGTTGGAATACGTTAGGTGGCGACCCTCGATACCTAATCACTGCCATATTTCTGCATTTATATTTATTTCTACCGAAATATACATAATATTTTGTACTGGCAACAACACTTCGAACGATGTACAACCTTAATGTTTTATACATATAATACGATCGAATATACATATAAATATAAATATATACAGTTGTAGACTGTAGACTGTACCATTAACGTTTTTCTCTATTGTTTAACGTTACTTCTCGAATTGTATTTGAAAGTATTAGGCATCGTGGTTAATATGTCTTTGACCATACTCGACAGCACTCGATGAATTATGCGTTAATTTTACGTAAGTACGCGCGTGGCTGATATTTCGACTATGTTATATTCCAGCAACGATATCTCAAAGACACCGATGGCGGAACAAAATTGTAAATTGATCGACGCGAGGCTCCTTTTGTATGATTTTTACTTGTATTTTACACTGGCGAAACCGTGAATTTTTAAACGATATATCGTTCCTGGAACGCAATATACGCGTGATATCAGTCACGTTCGAAATACTGTGTGCTTACCAGACTGATAATAAGTATTTTAGGTCTTAAACTTCTAAACGATTTGCGAAACCCAATTTGCAGAAGTGGCACAATAATAAATTATCGTCTATACGGTGTAGCGGTAGGTTCTCTCTGAAACGAACGATCTAAAACGCGATCTCATTGGTACTTGATAAACTTCTACTGTTACGTTTCGTCCGTAAAGCAATTATTGTAATCATATCGTAAACCAGAACTCGAATAGCAATAATCGCGAATAATCGAAGACACGATCACATCGGTAAACTAAGTTTCATGATTTCTGTACCATCGAGATTATTGTCCGTGTATTTGAATCGTCAGGGTTTGCATGTTTTCTACGAAACTGATGAGATCACGTGCTCTGTTGCTAATTTATGAAAGAATAATCATAAAACAATTATCGGAATTAATACTACACGCTTAACGTTTTAAAGATGCTTCTAAGTCTGTTAGAAGAGAAAGAGTATCTATGTTCACGGTGGATCTTCATTCTAGAAGATTTATAATGGTGGACGCTCGCGAGGACTCAACGAGACGTTCAACAAAGAAGTTGTCAACGATATTAATGTGTAAATTAATACAGGATCACTTATCATTCGTGTATAGAGTGTAGAACATGCGACCAATGCGGACGTTATTGTACCGGAACTGTTCGAAGCTAGTCCAACATCCGAATGAAACAATTGAAGGGAACGCGAACAGGAGAAACGATAACGCCTGCCTCGAACGATAGCATGCACATAATAGGATCGTAAGCAAACTGGGTAAAGACAGCCTAGAGTGAGAGAGTTTGAATGAAACTGTATTATATACTTTTTATAATTTTCTATTAAATGGAACCGGAGGGATGTTTCATCGACCGGGGAAAAAGAAACTCGACGAGGGCGTGTTGCTCCCAGAATCGATGTAAACGTGATTCGAGGGAGACGGTTAGGAATAATCTATCGATTAAGTTGAAACGAGACTTTAAAAATGACGAGCCTCCGACTCGGTGTTTGTATTATTAATTGTATCGTAACGCTCCTCTGACCGCGTCGGAGGCTCGTCATCGGTTAGACTTAAGTTAACTTATGACAACTATTTCGACGAAGGATCATAAACTTAAGACCTTTATATATATATACAGTCAAGTACGATATATACGATCCATGTTTTTTGTATGAAACCGTAGTCTTTATTTCATCCCTGCCAAACTTGATCCTTTATACTTATATTGAATGTACTGTGATTGTTCCTTGAATAAATAGGTTCGATTTTGAGAATGTAATCCAATGGCGCGACAGGGGATGATAATTTCTGAACACTGGAATCGTGACCTAGGAGATTTGGAATTAAATATTCCATATTTTATTGCAATCAAGGGATTGATATTCTTCGATTTCCCGACACACCACATCGACGTGCACACATGAAAATCACCAGGAGTAATCTCTTAGCTAAAACGACTCGCGTTTGCTCGACAATCGATATACAAAACTCATCAAATTGCAATTTTCTGCGTTTTATCTTTGCTGAACGATCGTAGTTTAATAATGACGAGCGTATATTAATATCGTAGCCGGGGCACCGTGCAACGCAATTTATCCAGAATACTGGAAACGAATAACGGGACGATGCTCGCGATCGTTTTCATCGTGCTGTTTCGTTACGCACGCGTGCAATGTGAAGTGGATCGAAGTTTGATCTGGGACAAGGATCGACAGGATTTTGTAAATCTGTTCGGCGTACCGATATTCGCCACTTTAGGGGAACAACCGCTTGCCGGGAAACAAGATTTGGACGGGAGAAATATCAGCGGGAAAGTTCTGAAAGTGGCGTACTACCAGGTTTAAGCCGGAACGCCTTTTGTGCATACGAATTGCCCCTACAGTGAGGCACAGAAGTACTCGTAATGTTTAAACTGGTCGGGTGGTTGATACTTTCTTATAAATAAAAATATACAGGGTATTTGTGTGCAATCTTTTAAGAAAAATTGACTCTTTTACGTGGAACTTAATTCCCTTTGAGGTGTAAGATATTAAATAACGAATGTACCAGTAAAGTTTCCTTAACATTTGTTCTAAAAATATCAACTATACAGGGTGTTCAGCCACCCCTGAGAAAAATTTTAATGAGGAATTCTAGAGGCCAAAATAAGACGAAAATCAAGAATATCAATTTCTTGACTGAGGCTTCGTTAAGAAGTTATTAACAATTAAATTAAAAAATTTCAAATCGATCTAAAAAAATTATTACTAGTTGCGGGGGTCAATTACAATCATTTTTGGTCAATAGGCATACCACCGAAATCCTACGCACTTTCGAGAAAAAAATTCCTTACCGAAATGTCTGACCATACATTGATATGTTTCCCTGAAATTTTGTCGCCGAAAAAAAAAATGTCTAATCGTTCTGGAAAAATTATTTTCGGTTCCGGGGGTCAAATACGATCATTTTTTATCATTAGACATACCCTCGAAATCCTACCCACTCTCGAGAAAAAAATTCGAGAAGGTGAAATTTTTCGACAAAATTAAAACATTTCAAATCATTCTGAAAAAATTATTTTCGGTTGCGGGGGTCAATTACAATCATTTTTGGTGAATAGACATACCCCCGAAATCTTGCGCATTTTCGAGAAAAAAATTCAGTACGAGCGGAATTTGAAACGTTAATAGCTTTTGAACAAAGCCTCCATCAACAAATTGGTATTCTTGATTTTCGTCTTATTTTGGCCTCTAGAATCTGCCATTAAAATTCTGCCATCTCAGGGATGGCAGAACACCCTGTATGTAGTCTAGAAACGGTACAGTACGAATACTTTTACGTCTGACTGTAAATGTGGGGCATCGATGGCACTCAATCATACTTCATCGTTATTCTTAGGATGGAGATTTCGTTGGGTTTTATGAGAACGACAGAAAGGTGTCTGGAATATGCGGGGAAATATGGAACATGCTCGCGGATCATCTGAAATTTACGTACGTTCGTAGCGGTAGCATATATTTCGACAGTAGCACGTAACAAAATGTTTATTTGAAAAATATGGAACACCCTCCTATTTCTTTTAAACCTCATATTTTATTCCTAATAAAATCAAAGTCTTTATCAACACGTAACTCGAGCCCCTCGACACGTTTACTCAGATTGCTTCCAGTAAGGAATGAAGAGCATGATTTTGGAATACGCTTGGACAACGGAAGCTACAGCGGTCTAATGGGGTTGATCGATCGGAATGAAACGCAAGTGATACTGCGAACAGGGTACTACGCGGGCCGTACGGATTTGTTAGAGTATACGATGCCTGTTTGGCGGACTAAGTAAGTCGTTCGTTAGTTCTAAACAATTTTCGAAATACAAGTAGCAACTGTGAAACTGAACCCGATCTACTCAACTTACTACTGTACATCTACGAGGTGCTAGTATATAAAAGTTACGAAACAAACAGATACAGATTCATCATGGCAAAAGAAATAAAAAGGTCTATCTACGTTTGATGGCGGGCTGTTCAAACCACAGACGAGTGCGCGCGCAGCTGTATCCAATGGCGTCGCACATTCACATTAGGATTCCATTTAACTTCTTATTGCGATCGATTCTAATCGTTTTTACGTACTCATTGGACTTTAAGGCTTTAAACATTTTTATTAAACAACTTCGCGTTAAAAAGGAAACTCCCACATATCGGTAAATTGTATTTTCGCGAAAAACTACTCGAATTTAAACGATTTAACACGATAAAGCCACAGTACGCAACTATCGAGAGAGCTCTTCGCGGTTTTACTGTCGAAATAAGACTAACTGAATATTCCATTCGACCCTAGAGAGGACGTAAACAGCTACCTGCTTCGGAATTTCGTATTTACGTATCCTAACGCGAAGGTCCCCAAACCCAATGGCGCGAGGGGTATTCGTCGAGCCAATTATACGCAAAATTTACAACTGAGCAAGGCTGTAGAAGTACCCTGTTTACCTTTTTTCTTATTCACCTACTTTTGAAAGACCATTGGGCATCGTTTAGACTAATTTGTGTACCTGCTGAGCAGTTCAAAACAGGCGTATGTAATATAAAAATCAAGTGTACTCTCTCGTAAATTTTACATACGATCAACCTGAATTTATCTCGACATAAAATATTAGTTTCATCACGAGTAAAGTACGATTACACACTATTCAATCAATGAACATTACACAGATACCAATTGTACATACAGCCGGAATTCAAACACGATAACAAGTGGCTATTTACGATATTCGAGCGGCACGTATGGCACGCCCTCATATTACTAACTTTAATACTCAGCCTGGGTGGATACATCCTCCAGAACAAACAGTACCGAAATTCTAAAAAGAATAAAACTCGAAAACAGAAGACAAAATACTTCACTTTCAATGACCATGTCTTTTATACGCATTCCATAATGTGTGGCCAAGGTACACTAATCGCAATAAGTCAATCTACATGTTTTTTAAACGTAACAAAAATATCAATTATGTAGATTCGTTACTGATTCTTTCAGGCTACGTTCCAGACGATCTTTACGCTCAGAACAAGATATTGTCGATATCAAAGAGTACATTCGCCTGGTTGATTCTTTTGTGCTTCAGCTCGAATCTCATTTACCAAATGGCGAATCGGATCGTGACGCTTCCGTTCGACAGTCTATCAACTTTATTAAATAAAACGAAGTACGACGTTTTGGTTTTCAGAGGATCTATGATTTACGAGTTCGTGGAGGTACTTGGAACGATTTTAATGCTTGCAATAATTAATTACTTCGACAACCTACGTATTCGATTGTTTATCGAGCGAAATATAAATAAGTATTTCAGTAATACTGATACCCTGCTTGTTCCGTTTCAAAACTTCCAAGAGAATGGCAAAATTTTAGAAAAACATTCACCTATCGAAGAGACAGCCTAAACGATACGACCTCGCGCGTCGTTTCGATATCGTGGACACACCGAGCACGATGTATCGAAAGGTCTGCGACAAAAAGAAGAAATTCGCGATGCTGGAAAACCAGGACAAGTTTTATATAAAAAGAAGTCGCATCTGTCCGGTGATACCGGTAGGAAAAGGCTACTTTCACACTTGGATCGGATTCGGCGTAACGAAACGTTTTCCATATAAGAAAATTATAAATATATCGTAAGTGGACGATCAATCGATTCGAGAATTAATTTCAATTGGAAATGGACTAAATATTAAAATTAGCCTCAGAGAAGTTCACTTCATATCTAATTACTTTTTTCCAGATTGTTGAAGTTCCACGAATTTGGCCTGATAGACGCTCTGAAAGATCGCTGGTTCGTGTATAGGATCAAGTATGAAAATAAAATTCCCTTCAAAACGATCGATATGGAACAAGTATACCTGATTCTCTGTATACCTTGTATAGGTATTGCACTGTCTCTCGTGATACTTCTTTTTGAAAATATCATATTCTACTGTCAAAATAAACGTAAATGATTACTATACCGATGAAGAATGTTCCAAATGTGTTACTTATAATATTTACTGTTACGACTTGATTAAGAATTACGTTAATAAATTGATACGCTTGAGAACGATTGTAACTCCAATTTTATACCCCTCTTTGTTTGTACTTTTTAATTCGAGAAACTTTAACGAAATAAATTCTACGGCGTACGTTAGGACCTCAATAATTGCTCGGTAGAGGGACTCTGATTAAACTTCGCTGGTTGACAAATGACCATCTCTTCACTTATCGAAACGATGGATCGTAATTCATACGGAATTATAGAAATTGCATTTGTTAAATATGACCTATATTCTAGCTTCCGTGACGCGACTATTTATCCGCGTAATATCGCGACGAGCGAATCGCGAATCGCGATGCCATTTACTTGAGTAAACTCGTATCGCGATAACGCGACGAAAAAACAGTATGCATAGCGTTTTGATTGGTTTGTGCATTGTTTAAATACGCTGTCGATAATACAGTGTAAAATATAATTATACGAACGTGATCGGCGCTGAACTGTTTTATCGACGTTATATCCGATTAAGTTATAGCGAGGTCGTAAACTAAACTCTCTTTTTTTATACTTAAGGTCTCCACGGATTAAATAGCCTATGGTTCCTATGGGGAAAAAAGGACAACCAAACAAAATCTGGTTTAGATGTAACACAATAGGAATCCTAGGGAAATCACAAAGACACAAATATTAAATGTTATATTAGTAAATATACACGTTTATATATTCTTAAAGTAACTTATTTCGACACTAACTCGATCCTAGCCTCTCCCATTCATACCAACACCCTTTTAAAAAGTTTTACTAAACCGATTAGTACGTTAAACGTTTGAAACGTTAAAAAAATTGAGTGGAGCTATAGCAATGCACTGTATAATTATTGAATGCTTGGATGCACGGTCATAAACGTTCTTCCCCCACGTTGTTGTTTCGATACGCGAGTTTTTGAGACGATAGACCGAGTAAAAATTGTTAAATTGTTTCTATTTACCAAGACTTGGCTCGACACTTGTTGGTAGCACGGTGTAAATTTGTATCTCTCCTTTTTGTACAAGTTATTCGTCTTAAATACTATTTAGAGAGGCTAAGATGCTAGTCAAAATGATTAAAAATGGAAGAATATGTAATCCCACGCAATTGCGATCAAAATCTTACAAACTAGGTATTAAGAATAACTGGATTGTTGTATCATGAACGTTTATTAGTGTAACATATCTGGATACCTTCTAATATTGATGCTAGACTGACCCAAAATTTCACGCAGTATATATACTTATATTTAAATGTATACACTCAACACTAGGCTTAAAATATACCGCTGATACTTGGATCAGTTCTAATAAGATCGAAAAATCAAGACTATGGCGTAAGTAGCTGAAATCGTTTTAGTTTATCTACCCTGTAACTCTGCACATCTAATACGGGCCATCATGACTCATTGTCAGAATTGTCAGTCCTCTCATAGTGTTCCTTATCACTTAGACCATTCATGAATCTACGTACAATTGCCTATAAAAATATTTTCTCTGAAATCTTTTCCGGTGAAGCCTTACTCGTTACTCGTTACTCGTTTACCACTCACTCTTTCGCAACCTGAACCGAACAAGTCGGTACAGAGTCCCAGGGGCCCCACGTGGAGGTGAGGTGAGTGGATTTGACCAAAGTGGGCCCGCCAACTTCGCCGAAATTCTCTGCACCAGGCTGCCACATAAGTAGAAACCCAGATATAGGAGAACATCAGCTTAATCGGGGTTTTCGACCTGACCAAAGCCACGAAGTCCCACTCCAGCCTCGTGCCCCCATTTTACACAAATACTATAGAAGATACAAGCTGAAAATCTTTTTAAAATATTACCATCGCCTCAAATCGAATTGTTTTGCGACCCTTGATACTGGTCAACCGACAACTCTAGGTTACATGGAAACCGTGCGCCCTAATAGCCACATATAACAGGCAAACACGAAATGGATGATCGATATCGTTCTAATTGTGTTGCATCGAAACATAAAATATACTGATAATCTGGAAATAATCGCCGTGATAACCGTTGATTTCACCGAGTATGATTCTCCATGACATTGTAAATCCAAAACTAGACCCGAAGACTTCTCTTAGATAGCTCCATGAGAAAATTACTGTTACTTGCGGTGATTCACGTAATCACGAGACCTGCTCTATCCATGAACGGTATAATATGGGATAAAAAGAGCAAGGATTTCGTGTCGATTTACAATATTCCTGCTTTCGCGGCGTGGAATCAGGAGCTACTGAACCGGAGTCGAGAGAAAGAGACGTACAACTTTCAGGGTAAAGTCATCGGGCTCTCCTATTTCAAGGTAAAAATGTTCAACCAAATTTTTTCTAAATTAACATTCACGGGGATTTCTGTATCCGCAAGGTGCCTAACGTTATCACTACGGGGAACGAAACGAAGATCACGGGGGCCATCGGTGACATTTGGAACACCTTGTCGGATTACCTAAATTTCACGTAAGGTGCATCATTTACTGAAACTGAAATTACTCGATCATCGAGGACGCAGATGTTTCAATCAGGTTCGTTTCAGACTGAACCCAACTGTGATCGAAACAACCACTCTGGGATTTAGATACGACAATGGTACATTCACCGATGGTTTGTTGAAGATTATTCTTAATAATGAAACCGATGTGATACCGAGGATGGAAGCCATGGAAGATCGACTCGACGCAGCCCAGTTTTCGGTCCCTTTATGGCGAATCAAGCAAGTCGAAATTGAAAATGTTTTGAAGACTTACACACGACTGATTGCGATTCGTTTGTATCCTTATTGGCACTCGTTAATTAACCCTTTGACTACCACGCTGAAATTACATGTTTTTCTCTGGGCGCCAAATTCAAGATTTCATAGAAATTAATCTTCTATTCTCGATGTTCTAATGAACATTTTTAATTGCTCAATAAGGCACTTGTTGTTTCAAAGTATCTTCTAATTAGCGATTACGTTTAAAATGCACTGAGTATTAATTTTCATTAAACTCTTACAATTGACCAACGTGGCGATCAAAGTGTTAACAGCTTGTATAATTTGCATTCAGTTACCAACTGATCATTCGAAAAGAGAAGGAACACGTATTGACATGGATGCTGAAATTATTTTCCCAAAGAGTCTGGATCGCGACTCTTGCGACGTATTTTCTTCTAAGCTTCTCCAACTACCTAGCCCAAACGATGAATTCGAAGACTCCGGAAACGATGTCCGAGACGACAGCAACCCTCCACGATCACCTCTTCTATAACTTTGGCATAATCTGCGGTCAAAGTAAGAAAAAAAGGAATTAAAACACTTACATTGAAACGAACCAGCAAATGAAGATTTAAAGGAGTACATCACTTACAGGCTACATGCCAACTGGTTTGAGCAAAAGCTCCAAGATCGTGGAACTATGGCTAGGTCTATTCTCTTGTCTACTGAGGACAGCTTTTGGCGCGCTCCTAGTAGTTTACATGACGCAACTTCACAACAGTCCACCTCTCATCGACAGTTTCGAATCCATATTCAATCGTACATCGTACATCCTCCTTGTGTCGAAGGGCTCTCTGCATGGTATGAGATTTCAGGTACAAACATATGGTGCATCATCAATTTTTCGTGTAAGCATGTACTGGACAGTGATGACTTGATGGCTAGACACACCGATTGGTAGCATAATAGCAACGCCTGCTCTCACACGCATTATGATTATTGTGGCTGAGTTGCTCACAACTGCAATTCCATCGCGTGACAAAGGACGTGAACGAAACGTGTTTGGGACAATGTGGGAGTAGGATTGGACAAGTCTGAGAGGCATTGGAGTAACCGTACGCTCAAAATACTAGCCATGAGTAGAACAAAAGTGTATCTCTCCTAGTTATGGAGACCCTACTACTATGTAGACTCTATGGTGGGAATAAGATGGCGCGTAGACCTTCTTTCCTTACTCTTGCCCCGTTTAGTTTGTAGGAGCCTAGCCAACAAGTCATCTCTGAATAGTACCAACCTGATACCATTTCGTTTTTAGTACCGTAACGATGGTAAATATATAAAGTACCGTGAAATGAAACGGGTCGAGCATAGCGACGGTCGTGAGGAGATGTACAAAATGTTATGCTCGACGCAAAAACCGTACGCCATGTTGGAGGGCGAAGACTTGAGACAGTTCGCCGGGTTAGATTTCTGCGAAATAAGCACCTTCGGACTCCCTATAAACCATTTGTCTGTAGTTTCCGCCATTTCAAGGAACTTCACTAACAAAAGATCCATCGACATTGGGTGAGTGATTTACAAAATATTTGAATTTTCCTTCAAGTATGCTATTTTTATTGCACAGGATAATCAAGATGCACGAGGTCGGCATCATACAGCGATTTAAACATCGTTGGACGAGAACGAGTTACAACGAAGAAGCTCCACTGTTGGATGCGGAACCACTCGTTATAAACAAGCTCTATTTAGTTTTCTACATATGCGGCGGTGCAGTGCTCATCTCATTCGCAACCCTAATGTTTGAGACGTTCATGTTTAGTTATAATAACTAACAATATTCGCGCAATTTAATGGAAAATTTCACGGGTTTCTTTGTAGCACTTTACTTAACAAGAAATAATAATCAAATCGAAATCTCAAAGTTATCTCTTGAATCACATTTTCCAGCGATGAAAGCATTTCCAATTGTCGTTTTTAATAAATATAAAACTTTTTCCTCATTACCATAATGGCTAGGGGCTGAGAGAGTGGGGGGATTCCCGGAAACCACTGCACTTAACCAAATCGAATCTTTCACAGATATGTACCTGGATAAGCTCATAGCGTGAAAACTCAACAAAGATACAAGATGCATATCGTTGTAATTGGGGGCCGAGTCGCGTGTTCGTTAAACCTTTTAAAACATCCTAAGGCGATGCCTCTGGAATGCAGTAAGATTGCGTGATTATTCGTAATGTTGTTTAAATACCTACAATGGCGTGCAATTTTGCGTATGCAATCGATGACGAAGCAGAGAAACGATAGAAATTTGTTAATGCTAGAGCGAATAAAATTACATTAATCGTTCGATGCTGTTTAATTTTGCCTTGTAACTTTCCCGATCTAAATTCTTTCAGCCCAACAGTACCGGTTAACTGATATGGCAGGAACGCGGAAATACTATCCCCAACATGTATGATAGATAAAAAATAAAACGGAATATCGATGTCAGGATATTCGTGTCGCGTTAAAACGCAAGGTAACGCGATAATCTCAACAGAATCGCGGTTACCAGCCATTTATCTCGGCCAACGCGGTTTGGTAGGCTTTGCTAATACGAGACCAGACTCTGCCAGTGGCGATTCTGCCAGACTCTTCGCTTCATGAAAGAATTACTGTTAATTGCGGTGATTCACGTGGTCACGAGACCCGTTCAATCCGTGAACGGTGTAATATGGGACAAAAAGATCAACGATTTCGTGCCGATCTTCAGTAATTCTGTTTTCATGGCTATGAATCAGGAGTTACTGAATCGAAGCCGGGAAATGGAGACGCACAACTTTCGAGGGAACGTTGTCAGGTTCACTTATTTCGAGGTAAAGAAAATAAATGAATTCTGTTTTACCGACCGCGTTACGTGAATTTATGATTACGCGGAAATATCATTGTAAAATGGACATTGACGCTATTTGTGTCACTATCGTTCGTAGCATGTATATTTTTGTTTCTCTTCGCCCTTATTACGCTAAATCGCCAATGTTTATTCACGTTTGTGCCCCCGTGATTGATTCGAAATAAATCACTATAAAATTAAGTCGATGCGTAGGTAACAAACGTAACACTTCTTCGTATTTTCAGATAAAGAACCTCATCAACAACGAAAATAACGGGAGGGAAATTAGTGGAGCCATCGGCCAAGTATGGAACACCATATCGGAATTATTAAATTTCACGTAATGAACAACACTTACTGAAATAGAAATTGTTCAAGGGAAGGGGTCTCGAAATGTGTAAATTGTAATCGTTTTAGATTGAAGCCAACCCTCGCCGAAGAACTTACTTTGGGATATCAAACAGACAATGGCACGTACATGAATGGGTTGTTGAAGATTATACAAAATAACGAAACAGACGTGATACCTAGGATAGAAACTCACGGCAGCCAACTCGCGGCTGTTCAATTTTCTATGCCTTTATGGACAACCAGGCGAGTTCAAACTCTGGTGTTTTATCAAGTATCATTATTGAGTGATTGTTCTCATAACGACCACCTCAGAAAACTGTGAAACTTTGTTACAATTTGTGTTTAGCTACAACCTGTACATTCAAGGAGGAATGGAACCCGTTTCCACATGGATGTTAAAATTATTCTCCTGGAAGATTTGGTACGCGATTCTGATACTATATTTTCTGCTCAGCCTCTGCAGCTATCTGACTCAAACAAAGTCAACTGCCAGCCTCAATGACCATCTCTTCTACAACTTTGGCTTAATCTGTAGTCAGAGTAAGAAAAAAAATAAACTTTCACAAATAAGTTCTAAATTATTTACAAATGATAAAAATAATGCTGAATGTTTTTAAATAACAATTTAAAAGTGTAAATTAATTTTACAGGCTTCCTGTCGAGTGGTTCGAACACAAGTACAAAGATAGTGGAATTATGGTTGGGCCTATTTTCGTTGCTAGTACGGACATACTTCAGCGCACTTTTAATAGGTCACTTGACTAAAACCATTCCAACATATCCTTTCCACGACCTGCAATCCTTATTGCATAACAGTTCGTACAACATTGTTGCTGTAAATGGAACTCTTCTCACATTTCAGGTACTAAAACGAATAATAAAATATTCCGTAGTAAAAATATAAACAGTAGATTATAAAGAATGGTTTCCCTCCATGCTACTAGCGTAGCCAGCGGCGAAACAATGAAACACTGTTTCACCGCAAGTGGCGCTACTAGTAAGGACAACTACATTTTGGACCAACGCACTTACCGATACCAATTTTATTTCTAGCTCCTGTACAATGATACATACCAAAAAGAAATTGAAATGAATCGAATAAAAATTGTCGGCAATGATACAGAGTTGTACGCAGTGGTATGCTCGCCCAATGAATTGAACGCGATGCTAGAAACCAAGGATGTAACACTGACTGGCGATCCACATATCTGCCCCTTGCACACTGTAAAAAAACCCATAGCTGTTATACCTATAGTTTCCGGTATCTCGAGGAATTTCACTTACAAAAGATCCATTGACATTGGGTAAATAATTCTAATAAATTAAATTAAAAATAAAATAACTCGTATGATAATTTTTCTGCGAAACATGAAAATTTTTTAGTTGGATCTCATATGTATAATTTTTATTAAGCAGGATACTGAGGTTGCACGAAAGCGGTCTCATGAAGGAGATAATATCTTATTGGATAGACATGAACGACCCCAGAGAAAATAAACCAAACGTAATAGAACCAGTTAATCTAAAACAGACGTATCTAATTGTTACCACATTCTACTGCGGAGTGCTGATCTCTTTTATAATTTTTATATTCGAAATCGTGATATTTTACTATTGCAACGAATAAAATATTTATCTACACTTAATATAAAATATTTGTCTACGTGTCTGTAGCACTATCATCTCTGTGACTTTGCATAAAATTGATGAATAGTCTGTTCCATCTTCTTCAGATGGTCACTATAATATAATCTAAGCTGCATTAAAATCATTCGTGGCGTTATTAACGCCAATTCAGTTACATTATCGTGCAACCCTTAGTACACGTTAGTTGGTGTCACGGATATATGGAAATGCAACTACATATAAAAGATAAAAGGGAAACGTGAGATCGATATCGCCGTATTCGCGTTGCATTAAAAAGCAAGATATCGCGATCATTCCAACAGAATCGCAGCTAGAACCGTTTATTTAAACGAACATTGTTGGTGCCTAATGTTAATGCAAAACTAGTCGCTACTAAGCACGCCTCACTTAAACTCGAAAGTCTAAAACATCTCTGTTTCATGAGATGGTTACTGTTGCTTGTGATGATTCACGTAACACTGAGATCGGTTCAATCCGTGAACGGTGTAATATGGGACAAGAAAACCGAAGATTTCGTGCCGATCTTCAGTATTCCTGTCTTCGCGACGATGAATCAGGAGCTACTGAACCGAAGTCTGAAAATCGAGACGCACAACTTTCAAGGGAACGATGTCAGGTTCACTTATTACGAGGTACAATAACATCAATCATATCCGAAATATTCTATTTCTCTGGTCTACTGAAGATCAAGACATTTTATCATTGACTCTGTTGTGTGAATTTATGACTGCTCAAAATTTTCGTTCTTCGTTCTAATTATCGCGTAGCACGAATAAGAATCTGTATAAGTGGTGGTTTTATTTATTTAAAACTTTAATGGGAGACTCTAGAGGTCAAAATAAGACGAAAATCAAGAATATCAATTTCTTGATTGAAGCTTCATTAAAAAGCTATTAAAAAATTAAATTGAAAAATTTCAAATCGTTCTGGAAAAATTATTATTGGTTGCAGGGGTCCATTACAATCATTTTTTGTCAATAGACATACCACCGAAATCCTACGCACTTTCGAGAAAAAAATTCCTTACCCAAAATGTCTGACCATACATTGATGTTTCCCTGAAATTTTTAGGCGGAAAAAAAAAATGTCAAATCGTTCTGGAAAAATTATTTTCGGTTGCGGGGGTTAATTACAATTATTTGTTATCATTGAACATACCCTCGAAATCCTATCCACTTTCGAGAAAAAAATTCGAGAAGATGTGAAATTTTTCGACAAAATTAAAAAATGTCAAATCGTTCTGGAAAAATTATTTTCGGTTGCGGCGGTCAATTACAATAATTTTTGGTGAATACACATATCCCCGAAATCCTACGCATTTTCGAGAAAAAAATTCGAGAAGGTGTGAAATTTTCCGACGAAACTAAAAAATTTCAAATCGTTCTGGAAAAATTATTATCGGTTGCAGGGGTCAATTACAATCATTTTTTGTCAATAGGCATACCCCCGAAATCCTACGCATTTTCGAGAAAAAAATTCGAGAAGGTGTGAAATTTTTCGACGAAATTAAGAAATTTCAAATCGTTTTAAAAAAATTATTATTGGTTTCAGGGGTCAATTACAATAATTTTTGGTCAATAGACATACCCCCGAAATCTTGCGCATTTTCGAGAAAAAAATTCAGTACGAGCGGAACTTTAAACGTTAATAACTTTTTAACGAAGCCTCGATCAACAAATTAGTATTCTTGATTTTCGTCTTATTTTGACCTCCAGAATCTCCCGTTAAAATTTTAATTTATTCTTTATAACATAATACCAGCCTTTTATATTCTTGGAATACACACTTGTTTAACCTTTTCTAACGAGTTAACTCTGCATTGGAAACTTGGAAGACACGTTTAAAAATAAAAATTTCAACATCACGGGGTCGAGTTTTCAGATAAAAAATATCATCAATAAAGAAAGTAATGGAACGAGAGTTTCCGGGGCCATCGGCGAAATATGGAACACCATGTCGGAATTATTAAATTTCACGTAATGAACAACACTTAATGAAATAAAAATTATTCGAGGGAAGGGGTTTTGAAATGTGTAAATTATAATCGATTTAGGTTGAAGCCAATGATCAGCGAAGTACCAACTTTGGGACATACATTGGGAAAATCATTCATGCCCGGTTTGTTGAGAACGATACAGTTTAATGAAACGGACGTGATACCGAGGCTGGAAACTCGCATAAAACGGCTTCGGGCTGCTCAGTTTTCCCACCCTTTATGGAAAACCAGGCGTGTTGAAACTAGCCTTTTATCAGATGTTATTTATACTGCGATTCGTTCGTGGCTTTTGTTCAATTAAACATGGCACTTATTGTTAGATGAAAACCGAGTTGAATAACGTTCTATATAATTTTCATTCAGCTTGCACATGTACATTCCACTAAATGTAAAATACATTCGTACATGGATGGTGAAAGTATTCTCCCCGAACGTCTGGTACGCGATTTTGGCAACGTATGTTTTATTGAGCCTCTCTAGCTATCTAACACAAACCATGGACTCAAACTTCACGCAGACAAAGTCGAACGTGACCTTCAACGACCACCTCTTCTACAATTTTGGCGTGATCTGCGGTCAAAGTAAGGAGAAACCAATTTTCAGAAAATGCTAATAAAATCTATTAAACAACGATTTAAAGAAAATACTTTAATCTTACAGGTTTCGTGTTAAGTGTTTCTAGCAGAAGCTCCAAGATCGTGGAATTATGCTTGGGCCTATTTTCGTTTCTAGTGAGAGCAGCTTTCGGTGCACTTTTAATAAGCTACTTGACGCAAACGAACACGACGCCCCCTTTTCATGACGTAGAATCCCTATTGTCGGATACTACGTACGATATTGTCACTGAAGAAGGAACTTACGGAGATATGCTGTTTAAGGTAGAAAAATGAATAACACAAAGGTTTATAATTCCTTACCGAAAGTCTAAGTGCCCAAATTTTTCGACGAAATTAAAAAATTTCAAATCGTTCCAAAAAAATTATTATTTGTTGCAGGGGTCAATTACAATCATTTTTGGTCATTAGACATACCACCGAAATTCTAAGCAAATGACCGCGGGCGGTCGCGAGCTTGGTCATTTATGTGGGCACTACTCTACTTGTTAATACCATTTTGTTTCTAGTTTTTTGGGGGCGAACCATATCGCACAGTACGTATACTAAATCGACACAGAAGTTTTGACACTACTAAAGATATGCATGAGATGTTGTGCTCGGGGAAAAAATTAAATGCAATGACGGAAATGGAGGACATGAAAAAGGCTAGCGGTCAATATATCTGCAAACTAAACGAAGTAGGAATGGCCTTATGTCAAACGGATATAGTATCCGGAATTTCATGGAATTTCACTTACAAAAAAACAGTCGACAAGGGGTAAGTAATTTTAATAAATTAAATTTAGACTAACATAATAATGCACCGCTCGACTCGCAAACGTTGCCGAGATTAACAAATATATAAGTAGTACAAACTTGCTTTCTGAACATAAGGATGGAATACCTTCTCTTTTGTAATATTTCTTACACAGGATGATCAAGTTGCATGAAGTTGGTATCATAAACAGAATAAAAGACGTTTGGATAGAATCGAAAAACGTCGAAGAAACTGTGTCAGATGAAGCAGACCCGATTATTTTTGAACAAGTGTATCTAATTATCTTAATATTCGGTTATGGAGTGCTGATCTCTTTTATAATCCTCATATTTGAAGTCTTAACATTTTGTGTTACACGAAGCTGTTGTGTTAAACGAAACTGTTGTATTTAACAAAATGTTTATCTGTAATATTAGGCAGCCATACTCGATCTTTTTTTTAAATCAGGCTTATAATTACTACATGCTACCTCTCAATATATTATCAAAACGTGGATTGAAAAAATGATAAAATTTTTCTAAGGAAATGTGTTAATGCAACCCATAGCCATCCATCAAGTTTAGCAAAAAGAAAATACTGCTATTTCAGATGAATAAAAATAAAAATTTAACTGTTCGATGAAATAAATGTTATAAAATGTTGCTGTACATTGGATTTATTTCTTATCGATTATCAGAATGAAATTTTACCCATCTCTGTCCATGCCATTGCGAATGGCCAAAGGAACAAACAATGCCATGCAACTTACCAATCGTAGAATGCGATAAAGTGGTACAATAGGCCAAAAAATCATTGTTCCCCTTACTAGTCAGTTCTATGGACCCAAACAGATTCGGGATTCTGGGGAAAATATATTACAATCAGTTTTTACAATAACAGAGACTTTAGTTTCAATGTAAAGAAACACTTTCTAATACTTTATAAAATTTTTTACTGACTGTCGTAAAAATGAACCAAGCATCTAACGAAATCATTTATATTTATTAAATGCATCGAAGTGTACGAAAAATATTGGTCTTTTATTCTTAATACTGACCAGACATTTCAATAAAAAATCGGTAAAAATATGTGCACATATGTCAATTGCTTCGATTCGATGGATTAAAAAAAAGCGTTCTCACCGTGTCGATGCATTCTATTTGAATTGTACAATGGCGTCCATGGTGTCTATGGCGCCCATGGTATGGCGCTGGCATCCAAATTTTCATCGCGGTCCTGTAACAAAAAAAACTAACAATATTAAAACACATTTATTGAAACAAACATAACCATGCTATAACCAAGCAACAACTTAAATTAAAATGTCTGACAAAGAATTGTAATTTAATTTAGAGAGCATCGAATGGAGGACGAAAGGACGCGTGAAACTGATGCAACTTTTTTCTCGAAGCAGAACAAATTTACGAGTAAGAGAATATTAATATTCAATGCAAGCATCGATAAAGACGATTAGATGACAATAGGTAAAGAATACACACCAGATATTCGTAAAATCGGTGAGAAACCTCTTCACGAGTTGTGAATCACAACGCTCCACAGAACGAGTAACGAGAAAAAGGAGGGAGGAAGTGCAGTGCACTGTTGCCAGGCGACAAACCAGCATGCTCTGCACCAATGGAACGAGACTTCCGCTCCCGCTGCAAATCACTAAGCCGCGTACACATGTATAATATACGACACAACCAATCACGTTGGAAAGAGCGTGATCAAATGATTTGTGATTCGCAAGTCGCAATTCTAGCCATCTCTGATAAATATAACAGAAATTGTTCGCACTTTTACACTATTTAAACGAATATTATTACGATGACATCGAGAGGAAGATAATATTTTACTTTGAAAAATTCTGATGAAATATAGAATTTTATTTGTAATACTAAATCAAATAAATTTACGTCATACACAGAGAATGTAACGTAATTTAAGTTTTAGTATAAGTATAAAAATATTAAAAATGCTAAATTCATTTATATCATTATGCTAGATAAATTTCAGTACTAAAACGTTCCTAGACAAATGAACCTACTTGCGATGTAATGTCGCGATATTCGTGACAATGAAACATTGCAGTTATTACTTTTATTACTGAAATTACTTTATTCTACACGAGTTTAAAAGTAATTAAACGTTATATAACAATCGACTGCATAAAAATAGACGAAAAATCGTTACATTGCCACGATATTATCTCCACGCGAAAACGTATTTTTAGTTACTAGTTACATCGTATGTATTTCGGCAACTTTTCTGATTCTATATCTATATAACCTAGGATCATAGTCGCTAGATAAACAAGCAGGGTTATACTTTATGATTAAAACAATAAACAATAAGATTAAATAAAAGATATATGCTATTTCGAGCAGAACTTTTAAATATAATACCGCGACTATTTTTAAATATTTAAGAAGTAAAATTAAAAGGACGGTGCCCCTTTTAGAGAGACTACTGAAAAAAATTTGGCAGAACGGCAGTGAAAATACATGATGATTTCAAAGTACAGAAGCGCAATTTGTATCTTTGGAAAGTACATGCAGGTTGGCTTGATTCTTGTCAGTAATTTTATAAACATTTCTAGTTATTGAATAAGCTTCAGTTTCTTTCAGAATAATTCACCTTTGATGTTAAGTCCTATTAACTATCCATGCGATACTTCTCAACAAGTTAGAAACATACAAAAACATTGGAATCCAAAGTTTCGCAAACAAAGAAGAGAAAAGGTTATTAAAATTGAATTGCCAGACAACGACGATGATAATATTGATAGTGAAACATTATCAAAGGAGCAAATGAGGTCAAAAATGAAGAAGCATGGATTTGTACCATGTAGAGAGTGGAAAGAAAGACCTGCATTTATAGCTTGTACACCTGCAATATTTGAATCGTATGTTGTTCCAGAAGGTGATGGGAAATTTTCTAGTATCACTAAAGAGGTATACAATATGTATTTGTCCAATGTATCATTATTACAAAATACTAAATAATTATTATTCTTACTGCCGTGTATGTTCAAATCCAAAGAAATTGTTAGAAAGTTTTATTCTGTTTATTTAGGGGGCAAAACAGAAAATTGAATTTATACAGAAAAAGAGTAGATCTTATATGGCTATTAAAAAGATTAAGTCATACGATGAAAATTTCTCACCCCGTTTATTTGAGATAGAAGCACTGGATATTTATAAAAAGGCACATGAAGCTTTAGTCGCGTAAGTTCTACTTATAAAAACTAATGGACAGAGTAACCTTTAAAATACATATATGTATTATATTAGGTTTGAAATAAAATTTAAGTAATAAATTTATAAATGTTCTCAGCAAAGACCAAGATACAATATTACGGTATGTTACGGAGACTGCATATCCTGTAAGTTTCAGAACATTTAAATTTAGTAGAATTTTTTCCTCGTTCTGTAATACTATGAATATAGTAATATATACCGTACAATTATAGCAAATGATCCATAATATGATGGATAAAACAGTTCACTGGACATATTTGGAATCATTGGAACCAGCACGTTTGGTGTGTGCAAGGTGTACAAATTTGATAACAAAAGAGAATATATTTGCACAAGTTACTGTCCGTTTTCATTCTCAACAGGTTTGGCAATATAAATCTAACTGCTATCGTACATTATAAATATTGTGTTTGAATTATTACATGAAAAATCAATTTTTTAGATTTTGTGCATTTACGATAGATTTGGAAGGTTATTACACGGAAGCGAAATATTGAAAAAAGATGTATTAGATTATGTAGTGTTTGAGAAACATTTGTCTAATGTGTATGGAACTTGGAGGATACATGGAAAAATTGTACCAAGATGGATGCCACCGGAAGAGATAGCAGCAAAGACTTATGTATTGCCGAAAGAAGATGAGAAATTATCTTCAGAGACTGCTGTTGAATCGGTTGCTCAGACAGTTCCTCCTGAAACCTTAGATAAACAAACTAAGAACGAAATCAGATGAGGAAATGGCTCAATGATATATTTAATGTAAAGATTATTATTACTCGTTAAATAAAGTGATATAATAAAGATACGTTTATATCTGAGGCACCCTTAACTATGTCTATCAATTATTATTAAAGACTCGGTGTTTAACCTTACTTATAGAGATATGAATTGCAATGCCAGGTTGAATCTTTCCTTATTTACTAATATAATTTGCTGCCTGGTGTTGATAGACGAAAACGGATAGAAATATGAAATAGTGTAGCTCGTTATTTTTTCAGTCGTGTTCTCAAATTCTTTTCTGTTTTCTCGGGGAATCCCACGCCATATTTGCAGTTGAGTTAAAAAAAAAATCTTTCTATTTAGATCATTAATTTTTATTAAATAAAACTCAAATTAATAGATCGTTAATAGTTGAAAGCTTGTCTATTTGTTATAAATAATACAATCTGAACAATGATAATGATAGAAACTCGTTGCTTAAAATTATAAATCCTTGCAACTCGTTTTACTTTTTGCATATTTTTATCAATTTTGTGAACACGAAAGAGTATAAATGGCAGCAGAGGCACTTTCTCACACTATGCCAGACCACGCGTACGTGAGCTCGTAGAGTTTCGAAGAGTCGACAAAGGAAACTTCTATTTACGATAGAAGTTCTATCTTAACTGAATCACGAACTTGATTACTTGATACCGGTGATTCTTATACTGGTATAATGTTAGGAAAGTTATATCGAAACCGATTACTATCGAAATAACGATATCGATAATTTGCTGAAACTACAATAAATACGGATTATATTAATATTAAAACATTAATTCTCTTACTATTTCATTTAATACGAAATGGCGTTGAATATTATTAAGCAGGTAAATGTATATTTTTTGTCAGTTATGTAAGTGTGTCAATAAATAAAAAAAATGTACCGTTGTTTATGAAAAAATAATTTAATCGGATTATGTATTTAGGTTTCAACGTGCTGTCGTAATTCAGTAATTAACAAAACATTAAGGTCTTACAGTGTATACGAGCCTCCTTATTTAAAGGTTATTTTATCAAATATTATAAATGATATGTATTGTATTTATAATGTGTAATATAATAATATTAAATAATTTATATGTTGTAGTTGAAGGAAAGTGGACCGCCACATTATCCTACATTAAATATACAGATTAAAGGATACGTATTTTCTCTCCTTGAAAGTTATCAAACTTTCATTCATAAAATTGCAAATATATTGGATGTTGATATTATAAATAGGTAACATTATATCACGTATTATTTAAATTTAATATTTTACATTTTAGTAATATCTGTAATTTATTATTTTTATAGTTATCCTGTCCCCTATCAAGAATACAAGATACAAAAATATAAAAAATCAAGCACACAAGTTGAAAGCGAATATATTCTTAAACTGTATGAAAGAGATATGGTAGTATCAAATATAACATCCATAAAATGTCCCATTTTAATTCGATTATTAGAAGCAACTTTACCCGAAGGAGTCCAATTACGCATAGATACGTTCTCCCCTGAAATGGAAAATATACGTTACATTCCTGATAAAGATTTACTTGACATGCAAACTGAATTAGAATCTCTGAAAAAGCCAAAACATTAATATAAAATTTGTATGCGAGATCAGAAATATTTAAATATCACCGATCTATGTTACAGCAGATAAATTATTTAGTAATACAACTGCAAAACAATTTTTATTGTATAAAAATTATGTACAAAATAAATGTATAAAATAAGTTCGTATAAAAAAATTCAAATGTACGTAAATACAGTCTCGCATTCGTTTTCCAGTAATATCGGAATATTTTCTTTATTTATAAAAGTCCAAAGTGTACAACTTTTATTTTAGAACCTTCCTCTGATTTTGAAGGTTCTTTTACTTTATCATTAATATCATCTTCTGTAAAACATAATATTTAGGTATTACGTATTTAAAAAGTTTTTTAATTACGGAACTCTATCACATACTCGATAATGGTTGAAAATCCTTAAGATAATCTTCATTACCAAGGCACAATGGCAGGCTTTCTGCTAATTCACGTTTTGGGTCGGTCAAGTGTACTTGAGTAATCGTAGAACGTTTTTGTTTATGTAATGATTGACCCTGTAAGAGAATACTTAATAAATAAAATTATCAACCAACGAACACAATTGTGTTTATTATTTCGTGTGAATTTTAGCATTTAATATAAATACAAATATACTTACTGTGTCGGGTACAAATATGTGCGTTACTGTATCTGAAAATTTCACCTTTGGTTTTTCGTTTGACGTTAATGTTGTATCCGTAAAAGTAGAGAATGGAGAACAGGACATAGAACTAGAAGTTGGGGTGGATATAACAGGTAGTGGTGGTATATTTGAAGATATCTTAGTTTCTTTACTAACGCTAATATTTGTACTATTTTGCGATGATACTAATTTCGAATGCCTATTATCAAATCTGTTCTGTACACTGTATGTAGAAGGAAACTGTGAAGCACCAAGTTTCATACTATTAGTAGAGGAATGTATATTAATATTATCACAACTTCCATGGAATGAAATGTAATCGAGATCATAATTAAGTCTATATCTAGAAGGCTTAATATTACTATATTTATGATGAACTTGTAGAATGTTAGATGTGGAGTTTTGTCTTTGCAGTAGGTGCGACGTGACATTTCGCGTTCTAATCGACGAAAATTTTTGAATAGATTCATCGATATCTGCTAAGCCAGATGTACTTCTGGATAAAGGAAGATTTTTTCTCGGAAGATTCTGAAAGTAATTTGTAAATGAGTTTGTTAAGGAAGGTGGTGGTGGTGGAATGCTGACATCCCCGACCTTTTTTCCAACCGACTGTTGTAACTTGATGACATTATGACTATCGCCATTAATACTACTTTTTGAAATGCAATTACGAGAATCTTGTACTTGATTATCAAGAAAATTAAACGAAGTCGACATGAAGTTACTATGACTGCTATGAAGATTGGATGTTAATTTGTTCGCAGTGATAGAATCGGGAAGTGTTTTAGGCGTGAAGTCATTCATTGCAACAGATGATTTTATATTTCTTAAAGAAGATGAAGTTATGGTAGAATCAGCTTTACTGGTTATTAAATTAGTAAAAGAACTATCATACGGGCTTGGAATATTTGTACCGAGCGTACTAAAAGATGTTGACATGATATTGTTATCTACATTATCCAACGAAGATCGTAATAGATCGGAAGGAACATCCAATGTTTCATATGTTGGATTGTTAAAAGGGGTTGATGTAAAGCCATTGTCTTGCGTTAAAGTAGTTGTTACTGTATTATCAGATACACTGTCAAGAGAATAATGCATTTCACCAAGTAGACCTTTGTTTAATGTGATATCTACCGAGTTTTCAGTAAGCCGATTAGACACTACGGCCTTTCGTTCGTTCATGGACAAACTTCCAAACGAAGTTGTCATCAAGTCGTCAGAAATATTATTAAAAGACTGTGAACTATTTGTAGAAGTTACTGTCGATGTTGTTGTTGGATTTGTATGAGTTTTGTACAATGGTTTGTTGAACGATGTTGATGCAAAAAACGTATTTAAAAGCGAAAGATGCGACGAATGATTAAAAGAAGTTGTAGTAAGTGCGCTACTGGGTATATTAAAAGATGTTGACACTAGATTGCAATCAGCTTTTTCGCTAGCCGAAATATCCGATGTAAATGAGGAAGGTAACAGGCTTTTGTTAAGGTGATGGGGATCAAGAATTGGTAATGGTGGAATTTGACTATTGGACTCTTTTCTGTAACTATGATTTTTGGAATGCTTTATATCAGTTTGATTTCCTTTGGAGGAATTTTCACTCTCGTCGCTAAAAGATTCCTCCCCTTTGTCGCTCGTCGAATCAGAGCACAATGAACACGATGCTCTAGAGCACGTAGAATCTAAAAAATTTGTATTATAATATTTTTCAGGTAACAGAATGTTTCTGAAACAATGTATTCCATTAATTCTTACGTGAACTATTACAACTGTTCGATCTACTCAGTATACGTTCAGCGTTTTCTTTTGCTGCGGTTGCCATTGCCACATCGTTTACAACTAACGCGTAAAAGTGTATATCCATAAAAAGGTCATGATCGTTTAGATCTATAGCAAGCCTAAAGGCTTTTTCAAACATTTGATACCTACATTATTTACAATTAATATTTTACACGAGATAAATGATTTTTTTTAGAAATGAAGGCATACAATACCGTAATAAATGATGAAAAAATCTTCTTGTTAAATCTCGTATTTCGTCTCCATATTCTTCTTCGATAGTTTGACTTATTGGTTTAATTGGAACATGGAAGCTACCTAGTGCATTCTGTATAAAATCTGAAAAATTAAACTATTTGTATTATTAACAACAGTTGATCAAAGTACAAAACTGAATCTTACTTTCACGTTCTGGTGTTAAGGGTAATTTAAATAAATAATTCACAATTTGATTTAGCGCGTGCATACACGCACGAGGATGGGTATCCCAATTCATAGACAATAATAATGATGTTGCTTGTTCAACTTGACACAAGGATAAATATCTTTTGACTAATACATCGCCAGAGAGAGAATCTCCTTCCAATACTTTTATAACACCTATAGGGCCTCTGTTAATATATTATATAAATATTACTCATTTTTTAATATCTTATTTATTTTATAAATGGTATTGTTATAGTATACCGTTGAAAAGTAAGTAACAATAGAGAATTTCCACGATTGTGCAAATCAATGTAGCAATTCAAATCATTTTTTTTATTCCATTCCATACGCATTAACGCCGGTTGAGTTCTATATTGTAAATAAATTCCATATTTTACAGACACGTTGCTAAGTTAATTATTTCGGAAATGACAAGGAAATAAATATAAGACAATACCTGAAATATGAAGATAAATCAAGAATATTGGCCGGTGTTATTTCTTCGCTTAACGTCTGACTTTTAATACATGACAGAGAAATATCAAAATGTTGAAATTGACCTTTGTCATTTCCGATCATAAATATTATTCCATCACTGTGCCATGATGCTAATGTAGGTATCTTGAAAATGTATATATTACTTTGGGTATTTTAAAAAGTAAAACAAGTAAGAGAAACTTTGTTCTAATCAAGCTTATACTGAATGAAGCCTGAATAAAACTGAGTTTATCTTTTCTCATGTATACATATTTCACTTACAAAACCAGCTTTTACGCTGGTAGTGGTAGCTCTGATTTGATCATAAATTATTACAGAACCATCTATGCAACATAATAGTAACAATTCCTGATTAGGGGAGAATTTCACACAGCTTGTATGTGTAGGTAAAGGCACGGAAATCACTGCTATTCTTTGCAGTTTATCTTGCTGAGAAACTTCGTACGTTCTCCATTCTATAGTCACCTCCCCCTATGACATACTTATGATGTAAAATGCTCGCTTACAAAATTAATGCTATTAGGAATGATCATATAACGTAGAACTATTACCTTTCTTGATACTTTCTGTTCTACAGAATGAATAATATTATCATGACATGCATCAAATATTATACACAAAGGATCAAACTCACTACGTATATAACAAATTAATTCTAATTTTACTCTGGAAAAAAAATACATTGTGCTCAAATACTCTTATTGTACAAACAGGAATTAATACTTTTACTAAATATTAAAACTACAATGTTCAATAAAATCTTAACATTTTGGGAAAGGAATTTTATACCCTATTAGACGATACAGGTGTATATTCGCACGGTCATGCTCTTTGACAACAGGACTCCACGGATAAACTTCATTCATTGTGGATTTCCACCAAATTAATATCTATAATGTTCAAAACTTTGTTATAAATTCTCAAAGGCCTTCTTGATAAACCATGTAGTATAAAAAAAAAACCGAGGAACTTTAATATCTTGCCTATGAGTACAAAGGAACGCGTAAATAAATGAATACATATTTACCAAGTCATCACATTTATTAGTTTGTACTTTTTTATCCAACCTACGCCCATTAGGACCAAACAGATCGATCGTGGATAATTTTGGTTCAAGTTTATTAATTTTATCAAAGACATGTCTCTTTGATCTTGTGAAATGTACAAGGCTTACTTGATTATCGTTATATGTGCAAAGTATATAATTTTTAGTAATTATCACTATAAATGTAAATGATAAGATATTTAAAAATTGTTCAGCATGCAAATACAAATTGTGTGAACATAATTTAGCGTTTACCGTCAGATATATGTTCCGAAAGTTTTCCGACAAGGTACTTATCAAAAGTTATTTTATATATATCACCGGTAGCAACACTGACTTGTATTTGTATTAACAGGGCATTATTCAACATCAACTGGAAAACACAATCATCGTACCATCGGCAATATATAATTGTATTGTCTTTCAATTGTTCCTATAAAATTAGTTCAAGATAAAAAACAAAAATATTCTGAATTTTGATCAGTAGTTTATTAAAATTTTACCTCCAAATATTTTATAGAATCTTTTAATTTATTTCCTTTTTTATTTGTTGGTACATATATCATACCACGTTTTTGACAATACGACCTTTTCCCTTCCTCGTGTAAATTATCAATACGTTTATCATGATACCTATGACAACATTATAAGATATAATTTCCCGGCATTTTTTACGTAGTATGTTACACGAACGGAATTATATATTATTAAAGTTATTCCATGTTTTAAAATACGAATATTCAGTACTATTTAACTTTATTGATATATATATATAAACATTAACGTAATTTATTTATCTCACCGAAATGCACCAAAGTCTGTACTTTTTATATTAATGTTGTCATCGAAACTCCATAAGTTTACTTCACCGAATAATGTAAACATTATAAAAAACAACTACTTCAATTGCATTGAATATCGATCACCAAACTGTATATAAACAAACTCACGTTACACTCGAAAGGTTATGTTGCAATGCATTAGAAAAAAAAACTGCGGTATGTAAATGAAATATGCACGATATACATAAAAACGCGACGGTAATAAGATTTACAATAATCGAGATTTGTTCTTCATCACTTTGTTACGTTGTACTGTATTGTCGATGTCATTTCGATTGCTATTGTTGAGACACAGCGTCATTCAACGTGATGTAAGTAGAAAACAGTAGAAATTCTACACCAGTCACTGGTGACCAGTGTTATCCAGTGTACCAGTGTTACCAGACGGCAGATGGGTGCCGAAAGGACACTATCTCTCTACTTACGCACGCTAATGTAGAACTACATGTAAGTACGTGAGCTTAGATCTCAACGTTTATTTTCTTGAATCCCCGAAACTGTCCGAAGGTCAGAGTTCACGTACATATGATTGTCATCAGTGTGAGTAAGTGGAGGGGCAGTTTCCCCTGGGCGCTGATCTGTTTGGTAACACTGCTCTACCCCCTTTATTTTCTACTGTTGAGTACTGATAAGTTTTGGTCGACCGGTGTACACAAATGAACACGTGTGTGTTTATAGTACATGTTACCCAACTATTTTTTCCCTGAAACGAAATCGTATTTTTTAGTTCCGTACATACTTTAATTTTTGTGAGCTATTTCGAAGATAATACGTATTCCCTAAAATGGTGAGAAACACAAGTACATTTTCAAATTATGAAGACATAAAGGTTATGTTGCCCATAGTACGTGACAGTTTGCGAAACCGTATTCGACATTTTTTCAGTATTCCTTAATTAATAAAACAGAAAATGCTCACGAAGACAGTATCTGGACCTGTGCTTGGGGTTGTCCTAAGAAGAAAAAAGAATCACAACCGGAAAATGACGATTCACGGTAGATAATCTCGATACAGCGTTCGTTGCTCGTTCCCCGTTATTCATGGTTTTTATATGATGTTATAGCGATTCTATGCGATCTAATGACGAGGAAACAGTAGAATACATAGTAACTGGTTCGGTAGATGATACAGTTAAGGTCTGGGAACAAAAAGATAAAAGTTTACAGTTGAAACATAAGTTAACTGGCCATTCTTTAGGAGTGGTGTCTGTTGCAGTAAGTTCGGACGGTTCGAGTAAGTATGTTAGATCCTTGATTACTCGAAATTGATTTCTTTAAATTGAAACCCTCTGTAATTCAAAGCTTTGGTTATTCATCATTAATAATAACATATTTGCAGAGTGTGCATCAAGTTCATTAGACTCTAGTTTGAAGCTATGGGATTTGGAAACAGGAGAGAAAATATCAAGTATAGAAGTTGGTCCTGTGGATATTTGGACAGTAGTATTTTCTCCTGATGATAAATTCATTGTGTCTGGCAGTCATTCTGGAAAAATACATTTATATGGAACTGAGAGTGGAAAACAAGAACAAACTTTAGATACCAGAGGTGGAAAATTTACATTGAGTGTTACCTATGTGAGTATACTCATTTAAATTGTTAATCAGAACTCTGTTATTTGTGCAGGATGTTTGGATATCTTTCAGACCTTTGTCAACCCTTGAGAGAGACAAAAATAAAAAATTACAATATTTTGGTAGAGGCTTTATTGTAAAGTTATTAACAATTAAAAATTCGTCTAAATCACGGCAATTTTCATAAGCTATTCACCAGTGTCCGTGTATATGTATGTGTCGCGTTCCGTATGTGACCGCATTTTTGCCCACTTAATTGTCCGCGGTCGGTCCCGAGCGTGGTCACTTATGTGGGCACTACTGTATTTCGCGCACGCAGCTTTTCGCAAATTGCCATAATTCAGGCGGATCTCGTTAATAATTTCAAGATTTTTGTGTTATTTTCCAAACACCCTCTACAAAGCCCAATGTGGACGAGCGAGATTATTACAGGGAGACATACGATCGTGTGTAAAAAAAAAAAAAAAAAGATCGCTGAATCGAGCCTACGAAAGAAAGCATACAATCCTTTTTGTTTTGCATTATTATATTTTCTACTTTAGAGCCCTGATGGCAAATATATCGCAAGCGGCGCAATAGATGGAATTATCAATATTTTCGATGTTACTTATGGGAAAGTGTTACGCACGCTGGAAGGTATCTACGGAAATTCATCCTAATAGTTTTTACTTATCAAACGTTACATAAATGTATTATTCCAGGTCATGCAATGCCTATCAGATCTCTATGCTTCTCGCCCGATTCTCAGCTGCTTCTTACTGCATCAGATGATGGACATATGAAAATATACGATGTGTGAGTAATATTCTTTTTTTACATCGAATCGGTTAAAAATACAGTTAAAAGATCGATTATACTTTTATTTTTTCCGTACAGGAAAGACGCTAATTTAGCAGGAACTATGTCAGGTCATGCTTCGTGGGTACTCGGCGTTGCTTTTGCTCCAGACGGACAACAATTTGCATCTAGTAGTTCAGATCAAACAGTCAAAGTTTGGGAATTAGCACAACGACAGTGTTTATATACATTTAATGAACATAACGATCAGGTAAAATTTTCATGTCGCATGCAATATTTTCGACGTTTTATAATAATATTATAAAGCAAGCAAAATATACTATAGCGTTCGTACATGTTTTAAAATTGTTTATGAACATTTATAGGTAGTAAAAAGCATAATTCCTTAAACAATTTGTTTTCATTAGGTATGGTCTGTGAAATATAGTCCACAGAGGAACAACATAATTGCATCAGTGTCTGAAGACAAGTCCATTAATCTGTACGAATGTCCAATGTATAATAAATAAATTTTCTTATAAAGATGGATGAATAAATGCTCATATTTATTATTTTTCCTTAAAATATTTTACATTTTGTGAAGTATTATTTTTCTTTGACATGTATACCTTAATAAAACAACTGTATTATTCTTACCTTGATAAAAATATCAAACAAAATAGACATTAGTAGCTATAAATTTTATTGTACTGCAATTATTAATATACAAATTATTAAGATGTCTGCCAAATCTAAAGTATAAAGTAAGAAGATGAATTACACTTAAGATCTAAGTAAAAGGTAAAGATAATTACAGAAGAACCGCGAAAAAGAATCTGGTGTACAGACCAAATCTCGTATAAAGAAAACATAAAACTACCCTGATGTGGTTCCAAGTTGGAAGGGTTAAATCTAATTAACTCGAACTGGAACAGGGTAAAACACTCATAACAAATCTCTGTAAATAATGCGCAATAAAATCTACTCTATATTGCGTCAAACATTTTCCTTCTAATGAGGTTTTAGGTTATTTCGATACATATAGAAGGAAAGATGACGCGATATAGAAGAAAACTTAAGTATTTATTTTGATGCTTTAAATATGCAGCGAATTTCTCAATAAAATTAGAAGAACAGGAACGTATGGAATTAAAATTGATAAATTCCATGCCAAAGTTTTCAATTTTCAGACCTATGAATACATAATTGATCCGTACACACTCCTACCCGTAACCTATATGAATTTTAGAAAGGGTAAACGGTCGAATCCATAGACATTTCTTACATGCAAATTGATTTCACGTAGTACATATGACCAAAATAGAAACTACTTCACCTGTTAATTTTTAAATAGACTAGAAACTTAAAGTAAAGTTTACAAAATTTTGTTTCTTTATATAATGCCAGTTCAGCGTTACTTAGACCGCTACATCGATACAAATGTTACTACCATTTTTTTTTATCGTAACATTCTGTTGCGTCGAAGATGTCCAAGCTTTATCCGAATCTTCATCGTGTTTCTATCAGTCTTTAAAAGTAATTAGACTTTGTATTCGTCGAATGAATACAAATCAGTTACGATGGAAACAAAATACAGATCTCATTCCTTGCAAATTTATCTATTACGAAGATGTACAGCGATATATCTTCTGCGATATATACCGTGAGCCGTAATATATATCACTAAACTTTCTACAGTTTTCATTCACGATCAATATATACAAAATTGAATAAATAATCAAAGGTAATCACTGCTACATACTACAGATTTTAAATTTCTTCCTAATTGTGGAATTTCTCAATATAATGTATGTATATACAACACGCAAAGTGAATAGGAATGATATCAGAATTTCCGGCTACTATTTCACACTTTGTCCGTATCCCTTAAAAAACTTGCATCGCAATGCGACGAACAAATATATCCGAGTGACCATTCTATATTTAAAGTGTAAAAATCAATGAAATACGATGGAGATTTTCAGTGCCATTCGAACAATGAGGTAAAACGAAATCGTTAACTTACTTACTGAGAACTTGTAATGTATACTGTGCGTCGACTCATGATCAACACAGTGTAAAGCAAATATACAATGACTAGCCTGCCTGAAACAAAAAAGCGATGCTACAAAAAAAAAAAAGATTAAAATTAACATTTTTCTAATTGATTCAAACAATCCCTTGATTTTTTTTTTATCCTTTATTTATCAAAACGTTTTCAAAGTTAAATAATTATAAGAAAAGAGGTAGAATAAAAAGAAAAGAAAAGAAACTTTTTGTTTTACCTTTCTCCTTATAATTATTTAATTTTGTATTCTTTTTGTAATAATTATAGATAGTCGAGGGATTATTTGGATCAACTATAGAAATATTAATTTTATTTTTTTCCCACAAGCAAGAATCAATTTTCAACAAAAAGAAAGTTGTTATTTTATAAATATAACGGGCTCTCCTATACTGTCGTTACTCTCGTAGAAGCTGTGACTATGTCGCTGTGACAATCCGTCGCCCCAAACTTGTTTTCGCTCTCGTTCGGTGTAACTTTGGTTGTTTGCGAGGGAATGTCTTGCTTCGGGTTGTAATTGAAAGGCGGTACAATGGCGGAGGCGGGTGTGCGCACGTTACCATTCACATACGTTTGTGCAGAGCTTTCTGCGTTCGCAGAGTCTACTCTTATGAAGGAACCAAGACGTGATATTCGTTTCGTGGGGTCCACCTCTATTGCGGAAGACTCGATGTTTTGTGGTTTCCGTAGAATCACTGACGCGTCTCCTACCTGTACAGAGTCTTTCCTGTACGCTGAAGTATCGCCGGACTTTACGGGTATTTTGCAAGGTGCGTCGTTCGCGTTCATTCCGCTCAGATCGCAAGAGTTCCTGTACTTTGCCTTGCTGGGCGGTACACCCATTACCAACGGTCTCTTCGATTTCGACTTGTACAAGGCCGATTCGGGATGATCGTTTTCCTGCGGTACTCCTTCGAACGTCGAGCTACGGAACAGTCTGAAAGCTGGCGGATTACTCACTGGAGAAGGTGCATCCACGACATTGGCACAACTGCCTGGTTGCACCCACTGTCTGGTGTCCGGTTTCTCGAATCGTTGCTTGTTTTTGCTTTCCTCCACCTTTTTCCAAAGACTCGCGATTTTGCTAGTCGCCTCCTTCGCTAACCTTCTGGTCTGCATTCCTGTCGACGAGTTGGACACGATGCTGGAATTACTATTGGACCTTTGCCCGAGGGGACCTACTTTGCGAAAAATCTTACCGTTTTCGGTTTGTACAGATTGATTGCCAGCTGGAATTTTCGATGTTGCGGCTACTTTTCCGGTAGGCAATCGTTTTGGTGCCACCAGCAACGGCAATGCCTTAGGTGGTTTCTCCGAAGCGACTTTCGCGATTTTCGATTGGTGCACCTGATGGGACTTCGGTGCAATTTTAGGTTTCACCATCGTAGGGTACACCTTGGAAGTGGCACCTTTGATAGGTTTCGCGATTTTTGTCTTTATCGGGGAGGAGGACGAAGAGACCACCATGGGCGCGTTTTCTACTTCCGGCTCGTCTTTAGTGAACGTACCTTGTCGTTCCAAAGGCTTGACATCCGACTTGCTGTCGTTTTGGAAGTTTGAGGAACATGTTGGGGGCGTGCTGTGTCTCTTCACGGATTTGGTAAAGGTCAACGACGACCCTTTCTGAGGAACGGATGCTCTTTTCGCAGCAGCTGATAATTTCTTCGTTCGTTTCTCTCCGTCTATCAAAGAAGGAATTTTAGGATTCGAGCTAGTCTTTGGGGACTCTTTCGTTGCGTTACTTGGACTGTTGTTGTTCTGCCTGAGCGTGGTAGCTCGTGTAGCCCTCACAATGGGCGAGGTGTTGCTGCGACCTATGGGAATTCCACTGACAGGATTCGGTTGTTTCAACGGGGACGACTGTGGAGTCGGCTTTCGCGTTATGGGATTCGAGTAAAGAGCTTTCCTTCTGCCACGAATGGCTTTAGGACTCTCCGGTTCAGATCTGTCCGTCGCGTTTGAATCGTTGCTATGATCCCTCGTCATTCCTGGTTTAATTATCCTTGGTCGCTTAGTTTCCCTAGGTTGTTCCTCAGCGTTATTGGACTCATTTTCACTTTCACTCTCTATAGTATCTACGAACCTAAGGTCCTCCTGTGACCTATTGGTTTCAACTCCGATCGTCTCCTTGTGATTCTGTTCAAGTTCTAGCGCTTCGTCCATCTGCTGACTGCACGCGCCTATCAGTTTCTTCGAAACACCGTTCAGGAATCGCATCCGCAGAGTCCGTTCAGACTCTGACTCATTCGACACCAGACTTATCGTCTCGCAGTCTAACAACGGTTCTTCCCCATTCTCGTTAACTTTGCTCGACTCGTTCAAGGTGTTCAGCACGATAGTAGCGTTCTGCTCCAACATAATCTGAATTTCCTCAGACTGGACAGTGTGCGTCACACTAGACTGACCCTCTTCCGTTGCATTCTCAGCGGCGTTGTTCTCTGCCTCTCTGAATATGGATTCAGAGTCGTCCAACGTCCTCGTACGATACCTTTCACGATTTTTCTTTTGCTCCATGCGTTTCTTTATCAACATTTTGCAGGCGGGCAACTTCGTGAGCGTGGGAATGGCAGACTTAACTGGCGACGTTGCTTCCGTTTCGGGACCTTCTTGCTCGCAAACATCGATCTCTTGCTGATCTTGGCACAGTTCGGGAAAAGGATTCTCCAACACCTGCGTCTGAAATCTGGCTCTGTCCTCTTGTCTTCGTTGCTTGGGAGTCAATTTAGAAAAAGGCGAACACTTCCCACGTGGAATTTTACCTTCCCTTGCGCTACCATTTGCTTGTTTATCCCTTTCTTCTTCCTTTCTGCTCATTTCCGCGGCTATGGTGTACGTTTTGTACCTCTCCTTGGCCAGAGTTCGTTTCTGTTTAGGCGTTAGGTTCCTGTGCAGTCGTTTTTTGGGCGTGGATTCTGCCGAACTGGTAAAGCAGTACTCCGAAGAGATTGGAGTGATCGCCTCGTCGGTGTCGTTGGCACCTTCGTCGATCTTCTCCACGACGTTAGGCTGTGGAGCTTCCTCGGTGCGTAGTTCAACGTCGATGCAACACAACGTGTCGCTGCAGGCGGTCTCCGTGGCCTGCTCCATCGTCGACTCATCCATTTCGCAGACTTCGTTGAACAACGACGGGGGATTAATATTTTCCAAACACTCGTTTAAGCTGTTGTTCGCGCTGGTCTGCATGGCCTCGGCATAACGCATGCAAGTTATGGAGAGGACGTTCGCGACAGGCTTCAGTAGATCGAAAACTGCGTCGCTGCTAGTTAAACTCTGATCCTGGTCTTTGGGATCAGCTATCTCTGATGTGATACTAGCGACGCTCACCATGCTGTTCTCCATATCACCAACGTCCGGTAGCTCGTCCATCATCGACGGTGGCTTCACGCTGTCCAAGTGCGACCCGCTGCACTCGTTCAATAAATTTTCTAGACTCCCAGTGTGAGTCTGAGGCTGATTGAGAGCTCGTTTAGCCACCACACCGAGGGGCAGGGACTTTTTGCGACAGCTTCTGGAATCCGTGAGGGACATGGTCTTTAGCTGCATCGGGGGAAGAGACGTGGAATTGCATCTGTCTCGATTAACAAACGTCTCGTTGTAATCGCCAGAACCCGCGTAACTGGCCGTCAGAGACAACAAACTTCCCATCGTGGATGGAGGCTTGATCGCTTCCAAATCCATGGACGTCATGCTCGTCATTTCTAATTCGTTCTTGTTCATCTCCGCGTCGACAGCTTCGGCCAGCTTGATAGCTTCTCGTTGGATGATTTTAGAGTTCGTCATGTGTCCATTGTCGCTGTTCGTTGTTTCAGACGTGATCGTAGCTTGTTCTTCCGGCACGTCGCTCTTGAACGAGGCGATGATCGGAGCACTTATGCTGATACTCGGAAAAGAGACTTCGTTAGGGGAATCCTCGTTCCACGTGTCGCTTAATATACTCTGTTTCATCGCGCTGGAGTCTCGTTCTCGTATCGCTTCCGTCTGTTGCACCAAAGCTGCAGTTAATCGATCCAACGAGGCGATCATGGCGTCGGGATCTCTCTGACGCCGATACATTTCTTCCTGTTTCCCGTGTTTTGGCGTGTCGGGATGCTTCTGTACTGATTTTTTATTTCCGTCAGTTTCATCTCTCGAAATTCCACCCACTTCGCACGTGTCGTACATTTGATTGTTCTCGCCTGAATAGTTGATTTGATTCGGGCCAGATTCATCGAGGGCTTTGTTGGACTTCCACGTAGCTTTATTGAGTTTGGTATTCTCGATGGTTTTCGTTAGTCTAGGTTGAATGCACAGTTCTAGGAGCGCGTGTTCGGACTGCTCAACCGAATCAATCAATTCGCTGCTTTCAGAGTCTGTTACTTTTGTGTAAGACTGCTGCATAGGGTTCTCTGTGATTTTATCTTTTAAACACTCTGACACTTTGTCAGTTTCGCTATCTTCTGCGATTTTTTCGTCTTCGAGGAAATCATTGTGAATCAAGGACGACATATCTTCGTTCGATTGAGTATCTGATAAATATTGCTGTTGACTGGGCTCCGTGTTAAAAATTACGGTCTCGTGTAATATTGGGCTGTTTCTCAAGTTCGAAGGCAATGAAAAGTTGCAAAGATTATCATCGTCTATTACTGAACTAAGTTGCGCGTTTCTGCTTAGTTTTCCCAGTTCATTGTGCAAAATTTTCGAATGCTCTACTGTGACTAAATTTTCTACCACCTGCAAAATAAAGCGGATGCTCGAATCTTTAAGAATGATTGCTCGTGTTATCAGGATAATAGACGCCTTACCTTTTGATTCAACGTTGTTGTATTCTGGATATAATCACACGCAATATTTATATTTGGCGAACTGTTTGCAACTTTGTTTGTACAAGCATCAGGACTCATTGCTTCTTCGCATGTTATTCGATTTGTGTCTAAACTGTTCATGGTTGATTCTACCAATATATTGCACTCCATTTGATCTAGAGCAACGCTCGTTTGATACCTGGCTAGATTACTTTCATTTCGTGGAAGCTTATCAAAATTATTTCCTATAAATGAATGCCTGTGCCTGGAACAATAAATATAAATGGAAGATAAGTTGCAGTTACTCTTAATTAACGAGCACAACGAAATGTCAAATGAACAGTTGTTACATTAAATTTATTCTATATGAAAATATTCACCTATTATTTTGCATTCCAATATTAATGCAAGCTGTAAGCAAATCTTCATCATCCTCATCTCCATCACTGACTTGATCTAAACATTCGGAAGAGTTGTTTATATTTAATGTACAAGGCATGTGACGTGTATCGCCTTTTAGTTCAAATTCCTTACATCCTGAATCGTTAGAAGCCTTGAGTGCACTGATCACGTACGAATTAACTCCGTTTGTAGAAAAATTTTGATTGAATTTATCGGTTTTTCCAAAAATTTCATTTTGAATGTCATATCTTTCTTCCACGTCTGTAATAATACGGATTTATATATAAGAAAAATATTTATATCATTTTAAACGGCAATTGTATAATAATTCAGAATACAATTCTACCTGATCTAATTTTTGCAGAATTGGATGCCATATTGCTTCTTTCATCGTAATGCAAATTGTTGGAAGATACTTGTGCTAATGTCGTTCTCAAACTATTAACAAAAAACAAACGAGTTTCAATTTTTTTCTTTAAGCAATACAGAATTATTTAAAACATTATCTTCCAATGTGTTTTCATCAAAATTGTAGCACATTTTTATTTAGATAAAATATTTTTATTCAAAATGATGTTACGCCCAACTTTGGGGTTTTCATATAAAAAAAAACAATAAGTAAACAAACCTTGTCGGACTTTTGGTGGAGGAATGTCCAACTTCTTCAATGTCATCACTCTTAATGTTCCCCTCAAAGTAATGCAACGGTTGGTTCCTCTTCTTCTCATCAGAGAGCTTCGTCGTGCATTCCAAACTGAATTCTTCCTTATTTCGCAATTTCCTCTGTTCCTGCACCTTCTTCATCGAACTCCTTTGACGATTATCCTCCTGCAGATCGGAAGCAGATGCAGCTCTGGAGGAGTTCAAAGAGATCCCATGCGGCGTTCCCTCCGTGCAATAAGTCTTCACCGTGTCTTCGTGAATGAGTTCCTGCTCGTTGGTCACAAAGTAATGAGAATGTTGTTTGTCCTCGTCGTCCATACTCCGCTCGGCATAGCGTAGACTGTAGTCGGTTGGTTGATCCAAATCGGTCTCGGCGTAGAACAGATTACCTTCGGTGCAGTGACTGACAGTCGGAGAGATGGCTTTTTGTATCGTGTCCAGTGGATTCAGCACGTTCTTATCGTACATGTTACCGAAACCGACATCTTTCGCGACGGAATCGCTGCTGACGAAGGACAACGACGACGGTGTATCGATCCCGGATTTGGCAATGCACTGGTACTCTGTTTTCGTGCACACGTTCAATTCTGTTTCCTCGGACATGCTAGACTGGCTGCCAGCCTTCGACGAGATGCTCTGAGGCAAATTGTCTTCGACCGAAGAGTGGAGCAAGTTTTGCGAACAGGCGGATTCTTGGTCTGGCGCCGACGACCACGAAATCGTGGAATTAGTGCATCTATAATCGGCAAGACCGTTGAAAGTGTCCGACGACTTCAAACGATCGGGGATCGCGTTCTTATATCGCAGCGTGTACTTTTTCTCGGAGGTCTTTGTATGGCTGTCGCTGGTCGTCCCGGTGTCAAAGCCAACAGCAGAGTGCAACGACGAGGATTGTTGCTTGATCTGGCAATCGGTGGGAGACAGTCCATTCAACACGTGACGATTCACCCTCTCGAACATGGTGTCCGAGTGAGTGCTCGTTATAGACCTCATAGAGTCTCTGCTCTCGCTCCTAGCGACTCCGTTACACTTCACGCCGGACGTGCTAGGTTGATTGTGCAATTGATAGGTGCGCAGAGCTCGCGCGTTTATGCCCAGGAAGCTGTGGTCCACCTTGAACAGGAACTTGTCGTCTTTATTCGTTGGGGACGTGCTGGGCTCGATGTTGTCGCAAGTCTCGGCCAAGTTTTGATCGATCTCCTGCTCCAGCGCCCTTTGCCTGCGGGCGACCAAGGTGGGCAGTGTCGGAAGCCCCAGGCCGCGAGCGGTCGAGTCCAAGTGAACTAGATTGTTGCAACCTGGCCTGGAGCTTAACAGATTCTTCAACGCCGCGCTGGAACCCATCGAAATCATTTTGTGCTTGGAATGCATGAGGCTGCGTAACATGGAGACCGCGCCCAGATCGAACAACAACTGTTGATCCTGTGCACATCGAGCCGAAAGGTTCCAGAGTGCTCCACAAGCATTGCTGACGACTGTCAGACTAGGTGACCGTAATTGTTGCAACAAAACCTGCAGACATCCTCTTTCTCTCACGATGGATCGGTAGTCCTCCCTAACGGCAATGTGGCTGGATACGTTTCTCAATATACCCCCGGCATTCTCGACGATCGCCAACGTCTTGGACGGTGCTTTGTAGCTCAACATGTCTACGAGGAACGCGAGGGCACCGTCCACGGCGCAGATGTCTATTTTATTTGTGCTGCAGTGCGCCGAGAGGTTCCAAAGCGCTGAGAGAATCGACTTTAGCGTCGATTCTTTTCGACCTTCCATCGCTGCTTTCATCAACCCAGTCACGGCTCCGACTTCCCTCAATGTCTGCTTGCTGCTGGTGTCGGCTCGCCACGACAAATTTCTCAAGACACTGGCTGTCACCTGTCTCAAATCGTCGCTTGGACTTCGTAATTGCGAAACCAACGCCTTCATAAATTCGCGGAATGAACAAAGGAGCGCTTTGTTGTTGCCATCTCCGAACGTCAGATTCGTCAATGCCATACCAGCGTATCTGCGCAGAGTAATGCAGTTCTGGTCGTCGCATTCGCTCCCGTGAGCCATGTGATCCATCTCGATGAGCTCTGCCACCGCGTGGAGGCCACCTAGTTGGCACATAGCGTGACGATGGGCCTCGTCGAAGGAAAGCTTCATCAGCGCGGCTATCGTGGGACCTGGATGTCTTTCCAAGTCGTCGGGGACCTGTCCAGTCTCCAAGGACGATCTCAGCGCCTGGCAATAGTCTCTCAACTGTTCCAGAAATCGTAGAACCCTGGCTTCTCGGCGTCCAGCTCTCTCGTCACTTTTGGCATGCACTATGTTATGCAGAGCCCTCGAAGCTCTTTCTCTAGTTTCTGGAGCCTGTCCAGGGGCGTGAATCAGTTGCACCAACAGTGGCAGACACCCCGATTGTCTCATTATGAGACAGTTGTCTATCGAATTGCTCATCGAAAGCAACGTGGCGCTCATGTCCTCCCCGCCTTCGGTGCTTCCCAGCATTCCCAGCAGGTTGTACACCACATCCACTTTGGCTCCTAGCCGTCGATCGCCTTGCATCTCCGCGGAACAGCTGAGCGCTGCGCCAGAATTTGAGGAAAAACTCATCACGCTGGCTACATCCTGCGGAACAGATTATTTTTCACATTAAAATATCTATTCTTCTATATTGTTACAAGACAGGTGGCGATATAAAAAGGATGCACATTACTTTTGTGTTAATTTTACTTGATAATAGCAGTATTTATCAATATTTTTTCATCAACGTGTGTATTCAAGCTTTTCAGCAGTAATGTAACGTATAAGGAAAAGTCCCTTACGTTATGTACAGTGGTTGACGTGCTTTGTTGAGCGGAAAAGCCCATTTGTTGATTGGCCCATATGTCTCTTCTGATGGGCCAAGTCCCTCGATAAGAGGAAGGTAATCTGTGACTCTGTAAAGATGTATCTGACTTATTCTCTTCCTCGCTGCTACCACCTTCATTGTATCGTTTATTCCTCCTTGCATAAATCTGTCCAACATAAAAATTGAAAAAAAATCCCATGAAATTACAATTTATTTTGGAGTTTTAAAACATAAATGGAGATCCTCCATCATCGGACATCAGCATTCTCTTCAACCCCGAATGTGGTGTCCCAAAACTATTCTAAGGTTTAAAAGTTTCACGCCCTTGAAGTTCGTAACGTGCATCGACCCGATACGGTGTTTAAAAAAAAGGGACAAGCGCTTCCTGCCGCACACGTTCGATTTGGATTCTCGATGAGAAAAAAATACTGTGCAAGGTCGTTTCCAATAGATTCGAAAAATAAATACAGTTTCAAAGTGACCGAAACTGTCTTACGTTTCCGCGCGAGCCGCAAAAGGAGCATAAATTCTTGGGGGTAAGGTTTAGGGCGGCAGGGCGAGTTAAAGGGCGGCGAAAGAGAAAGGCGGTGTGATAAGGAGAGAGAAAGAGAGAGAAAGGGAGAGAGAGAAGTAATGTACGTGTGCGTAAGCGTGCAAAGCGGAGGCAGAGAAAGATAGAATGAGCTCTCCGTAAAATCAATACGTGGCTACGCTGGTGGGACGTGTATATAGTCAGGGACTCGTGCTCTACAAGCACGAGGCAACACCAGTGGTATCCAACCATTTCTTTACCGTTGGAGCATGATCTCTCGTAAAAAAAACAAAAAGAAAACAATCATCGAATGTCAGCTAGCCAGAGATCGAACGAAAAATGCAAATACCGATCGGCATGCGTTGGCCCAACGATGGAATTAACGCGCGTACAGCGTTACATAACAATGCAGTAGTTCGTCTGAACACTTGTGTAAACAGAGAGGGATTTGTTGCTCTTTTAATAGATTTGCAAATCGCGCGCTTCGTTTACACGGTTCGAGCCTCCTAATACCACTGGCTGATTCACTTATTAAAATACATCGTTTAGATTTGATTTTATACGAAACTATCGTCACTGAGATGTCACTCGATAGCGATCGTTCGATCGCGTTGACACGAGAAATTGAGACGAATTACCAAATGATACCATCAATAATATTGACCACGCAATCATTCGAGCGTTTGAAATTCTGGATCGTTTTTCAAGCCATGCGAACGTTCAGATATGCGCCATAACAGGGAGTGCGAAAAATCTGCACGATTATCGTCGTAAAAAAAAAAAGAAACACTTCGTTCAGAAGCTACTGGCATTCCTCCGATGACTGCGATGCACCTGTTCTACATTCGGGCTCCATAATAAAACAAAGCCACGTATTCCGTCGTTTAACGGAGATAAATAACGACAGAGAGTGGGTGTTTCGGATCAATTTCGACGTTGGCTTGTTTTTCACGGTGAACGTCCTAAACGGGGAGTACCAGGTAGAAAAAGGGCAACAAGAACGGAACGGCGGGGGATGGAGAGGGATGACAGAAAATCGAAGCGACCGATGAAATTTACCTCGGGGCTCGGCGTGGACGACCTTCGCTCGTCCTCCTCCTTGACTTCCGGCTCCATGGCATCCTCCTTGCTGGTCTCAGCGATCGCAGAGCCTAGGTAGAACCTCGATCTGGAGCTGGCTGCATTGGCGGACGTTGAGGAGCAGGACGATGGCGTTTTCAACGCGTTCCTCGGCGCACAACATCTCGTGGATGTCACCGCCGATGCAACGACGACGGGGTTGAACGCTGCGCCGTCCACGGACGACTCCAGTTCGTGCGCCGCGACGCTGGCCAGGGGCGTAGGTATCTGGATGCCGTGGGGGCGTCGCTGGCCCCTCCAGGAGCCGACACCTTCCACGCCGACGCCTACTGGCTCGTGGGATACGCGACACTCTTCCGAGAGCAATCTTTCTGATCTCTTGTAGCAGGGCTCCGAGTCCTCCTGGAACAATGAAAAGAATAATTATGAAACGCTTGAGGGAACCAAGGATTTACATCGACGAAGGCACAGTCGACGGACAGTAATCGAGCAATTTCATTTTATCTCTCCCGGTGAACGCTTCTGCCTGGATTTTTATTACACCGTTATTGGCAGGCACGAGACATTCAAGTTTAAAATTGTCCTGTATCAAACTTTTTCAATGATATCAGACTTAATTACGCCTTAACTTAAATGGAATAATTTTCCCCGGTAATATGAAATGGAAATCAACCCCGCCGCTGTGAAATTTTTCATGCACATTGGGAAACGAGCCTTTTTATGCAATTACGATTTTTTTATTAATATAAACCTCGAAATCTGTGTGTTTGTGAGTCCCCTGCGACCCAACTGTAAAAGTACTAAAACTTCAGAGTTTCTTGCATAAAAACTAGCGTTAATTTGACACTACCACTTGTTAGTGACAATCAGAATAATTCTCCGGCTATAATTTGTTATGCAACGAAGCGTAGGCAGTGCGTTCTTATCGTATAACATCCACAAGCAGACAAGAATGATGAGTAATGCAGTGTCACTTAGGATTGCCTCCACTAAAAGTACATACTTATCTTGAGAAGCATTCTTTGAATTAATATCTTACTGATATCGTGCGTAATTGACAGTGATTCATCTTTCATTCATATACTTTTTTAAACCAAACACTCAACGCTACAGAATCAAACAATGCACTTGATAATTTTTAACAAGTACTTTGGTATTCTATATATTCTGTCTAACCAGCAAATTCAACAAACTTCTTCCCCTCAATTATCTTGTCTCGGAGGAGTTCGGAGTAATCAACGTGAAATAGAGGTATAATTACGTACTCATGGCTACCAAGTTATTTTAGTTAATCATTTTCCATTTTAAACGTCAGGGCTGTAATTAAACTAACCATCTAATAACAATGATTGATGCGGTATTTCCTTGTTTGTTTAATTCCTGTCAAGAACAATTAACGATTACCTTTTTTTTATAGATGAAAGGGCAAACAAAAAACAAAGACAATAAAATCCACTTCGATTCGCGCCACTCGAGTTTAAATGGGGGAAAAAATTGAAACCAATCGCGCTGCGAAAGAGATTGCGCTCGCGAAATTCCGTGCAGTTCATTCATTTTTATCTCAGTCAATTTAGGTTTCGCCCCTTTTCGCCGCGGTCCGTTCTCTTTCAACAAACCAAAACAAACACGGCCAGAGAAAGGAGTATCGCGGCGGATCCGTTCTGAAAGCCGTGGCAAAACTTCAGACATCTCTCCCTGGCACTTTCTCCCAGGTTCACGGACGTTCCCCGCTGCTTCCCGGTCGTCGTTAAAACACGATCGCGGTTAATACTGGTTCATTAGGCGCGGCACGAAACGTAGCTGCGTGCAACAAGCAATTAACCCAAGGCATTCTACGGAAACAAAAGGTCATCGTTGCGAACCTGCATCGTTCTGTGCAGCAGGCTGCATGCCGCAGGACTCCCGGCAGCATCGTGAAAGGCAAATATTGAATCTGGGCAAAAGTTTCAAAACGTTTCCCGGTACAGATGCCGCAAACGAACGATTTGCAAAGCCCCGGCGAATAAATATCAAGCTTCGTCTATCGCTGTCGTTGCGAAACTAAGAATTATTTCGCAGTAAACGAGCACCACGAAGCACGGAAGGATCTAGGGCGTGTTCTATCGACGAAATGCAGTACTGTCTGGATCAGTACCCGGATAGATGAAACAATTTGTACCCGCATATATGAGAAATTTTCTAATTTCTTATCTTAAAATATTAAAAATTAAAATAATAATTTAATTTTACTACTGTCACTGAAATTTTAGTATCAGTTCAACTGATTTTTTTTTTTAGTTTTTGGAAATATTTCGAGAACTGACTGTACAATTTAAAAAGAATTATAACTAGCATTGACATAGCGAGAAATGGAGAAAATTTGCACGTAACGCTAGAATTAACGAGATCGGTCCGCGGAAAGCATCATCCCTTACTGCATGCATAATTAAAGACATCGCGGATCGTCGAAGCAGGTATTGTTACTTATTTACCACTTTCTCCCGGTTTTCTCCAATACCGAAAAAATGCTGGAATAATGAACGCGAATAACTGCGCGCTACGTTGCACCGAGAATAATAACTCGGAATGCATTTGAATTGTGGGGCAAACGCATTATTCGAGGATAGTAGTCGAAGGTTGCTGGAGTATGGCGTCAGAGAGAGGATTTTGGAGCAAGATTACTCGAGCCAAACTAGATTAAACCAGGATCACTTTCAAATGCTTTGTGTACTTCCAGTCGACCCTCAAAGTTTATTAATTATTGATCAAATCTATTAATTAGAACAGCAAATAGAAGTTGCCATCGATGAACATAGTTTCCGTAGTAGATTCTACAAGGAAGGAAGTTAAATAATTACGATGTTATATTTTGGAGGATTTCAAGAAACTACGATTGAAAAACAGAAAAGATTTTAAATGCCTTAATTGGGTTTCAAGTATTTGTCGAGGAGCACGGGGAACACTAGAACGTACTCGAGCGTTAATGCAATTACAAATGCAAGAGTAATTAATGCACTTGAGAATATTTAATATTGGGTAAACGAAATCCTTGAAATTAATCTTTCCTTTAAAATAAAGTATACGCAAAACTAGTAATAAAGAATTTCATTTTAGACTCGACGTTTTCTGAAAAAAAGCAAATAAATTGTAACTAAACGCAACTGCATTCGTTACGAGATATATTATTTAATTTATAGTTGTATATATTAAGTAACGCGATAACGTTCTCCCATCGTGCTGAATCATTCTTAATTGCCCGATGATTCATAGTACATTCATTCACAAACACTGGCCATAAGTGCGAGGCTTCATTTTCTTGTCTATCTAAATATTTCTGACAATATTTATCTACTATATTAAGAAAATTTTTTAAATAAATTGTCATTTATAAAACGATGGAGATGAGAGACTCAATGATGTCATGCAATTCTCGAACCACGTTAGAGGGAAATCTTGTTTGCAAAAGTACCGCGTTGTACGGGGGTTGGACTTGTACCGCGTTTATCATCTTCTTTCCGCAAGCAAGGATCAAGTTTAAAAAAATAAGCTACAGACGCGAGCAACGGGGCATTTATTTAGCTTTCACCCTGCAACTTCGTTTCCTTTCTCCTGTCAGCTTCTTATCCGGCGATCTTACGCCATCATCGGAACGATAAGCGGTTCCACGTAAATAAATGCAGAGACGGAGAAGGCTTCGTCACGAAGCGTGTCCGTGACGAAGAAGCGACCAGGTAAACCGTTTATCGCGAACGGGCAGCTGTTTTTACCACCATCTTCGACGTGTAAAACTCGAATCCACCGGTAAATCGGATTCTGTGTCGCTCAATCGTGTGCCAGCCGTCGCGTCCATCTCAATGGACGGGGAATTAAGATAAGAGGCTGCATTCAGAAGCGGAAGAAGCTGGGGAACGCGAAACGGAAATTGATTCGACAGTTCGGGTTAAAGTTCGGGTCTGGAGGCTTCGAAAGTGATTAGAACCTGTATTTGACGAGTAAATTACAATATTTTTCCAATATACAAAATGTTCAGCTACCCATGGGACAACAAATTTAAATGGGAGATTCTAGAGTCCAAAATAATACGAAAATTAAGAATTTCTTAACTGAGACTTCATTACTAAGTTATTAAAAAATTTCAAATCATTCTAAAAAAATTATATTTAGTTATAGGGGTCAATTACAAGCATTTTTGGTGAATAGACATACCCTCGAATTCCTAACCAGTTTCGAGAAAAAAATTCGAGAATGTGTGAAGTTTTTCGACAAAATTAAAAAATTTCAAATCGTTCTGGAAAAAATATTTTTAGTTGCAAGAGTCAATTACAATCATTCTTGGTGAATAGACATACCCCCGAATTCCTATCCATTTTCGAGAAAAAAATTCGAGTAGGTGTGAAATTTTGCGACGAAATTAAAAAATTTCAAATCGTTCTGGAAAAATTATTTTCGATTGCAGGGGTCAATTGCAATCATTTTTTGTGAATAGACCTACCCCCAAAATCCTACCCACTTTCTAGAAAAAAATTCAATACGGGCGGAACTTTAACGAAGCCTCCATCGACAAATTAGTATTCTTGATTTTCGTCTTATTTTGGCCTCTAGACATCCCTCTATCTACTACACCTTCTTCCACAAAATGTATAAACATCTAACATGGTTTTGTATAAATTTGTTTGATCGTACTATGAAGATAAATCAGAAAATATTGTATAGACGAACTTCGAGAAATGCATTGTTATAAAGTTGCATTATAAATGCATTAGAAACCACGCGATGAATAATATTTCAACGGTAAATCAAATTCAATATTTATATAGGAATGCACGACGATTCTAATTGACCCAATTTTCTGTTTCCAAATCGGTGGTTCGGAATCCGCGTAAGACCGTAGCCTTTCAGCAAATGATCAATTTTATACGGATTATAGTCAATTGCAATTTCTGCTTTATTATCAAATGAAGAGAGGAAACAATTATTTCGCTTTCGATTAAATTTTATTACCGAATTTCAACGACATCGACGCGTTATTTCGCTTCTGCCGATTTCGGAACACTGGAAGCGATTCTCTGCAAGTCGTATTTTTATTTTCGACACGGCCAAGCAAGGAAGCGTATTTTAGTCACGTGCACTGTACACTCCAACAGAACAGAGAACACCACACGTTCGTCGTTGAACGTTGGTTAAGTTCAGAAAGGAAAATCACTATCATCGATATCGTCGGAAATTAAATATAATTTCCAAAGAATCGTTTTCTAAAATTCCGTAAACTGTTCTTGCAAATATACGAAGTTGCTTGAGATGTAGAAAATAAACGATTGGAAATACAGGGTCAAGCATCCGAAAAGCAAGCAGAAAATCGGTAAATGAATGCTATTCTCGATCGGTGGACCAAAGAATTTTCTAGCGTCTTAAGCGTGAACACT